CTGCAGCGCGGCGCTCGAGGCGGGGACGGACGGAAATGACGACGAAAACGACGACGACGACGACGACGAAATCGACGACGACGACGAAAAGGACGATGACGAAAACGAAGACGAAAACTATGACGACGACGACGACGACGAAGACGACGACGACGAAAACGAAGACGAAAACTATGACGACGACGGCGACGACGACGACGAAAACGACGACGACGAAAACGACGACGACGACGAAACCGACGACGACGACGGCGACGACGAAAGCGACGCCGACGACGAAAGCGACGACGAAAACGACGACGACGACGACGACGACGACAAAATCGACCCGCCCGTTAGGGCCCGCCCGCCCGACTCGACCCGCCGTTAGGGTCCGCCCGACCCGACCTACCCGACCGTTAGGGTACGCGCGTGCCAACTCGATGACGCATCGTAGTTTAATGTTCCTCCATCGAGTGGTGTTTGCCGATGTATGTAATGGGAATCCAGGGTGGGTGGGGTTTGAGCACCGCGGCAGTGTGTCATCGACATCCATGTGTTTTTCTACACGCTTTCCTGGTGGACCCTAAACCCTAAACCCTAAACCCTAAACTGCAGGCGCGGACCTGGGGGCGCGCACCGCCACACCTGTAAGGATCTGCTAGTGAGAGCGAGCTGCAAGTCGAGCTCACCGCGACCATAGGCCTGCCGGCCCGAGGCGGTGCTTCGCTTGCACAATGATAACCCCTAACCCTCCGCCGGATGCTCGCGGATACCGCTCAACTTCTCCCCCAGAGCTCTCCCCCAGAGCTCTCCCCCAGATCTCTCCCCCAGAGCTCTCCCCAGAGCTCCCCCCCAGAGCTCTCCCCCAGAGCTCCCCTCCAGGGCTTCCCCCCAGAGCTCTTCCCCAGAGCTCTCCCCCAGAGCTCTCCCCCAGAGCTCTCCCCCAGAGCTCTCCCTCAGAGCTCTCCCCCAGAGCTCTCTCCCAGAGCTCTCCCCCAGAGCTCTCCCCCAGAGCTCTCCCCCAGAGCTCTCCCCAGAGCTCCCCCCCAGAGCTCTCCCCCAGAGCTCCCCTCCAGGGCTTCCCCCCAGAGCTCTCCCCCAGAGCTCTCCCCCAGAGCTCTCCCCCAGAGCTCTCCCCAAGAGCTCCCTCCCAGAGCTCTCCCCCAGAGCTCTCCCCCAGAGCTCTCCCCCAGAGCTCTCCCCCAGAGCTCTCCCCCAGAGCTCTCCCCCAGAGCTCTCCCCAGAGCTCTCCCCCAGAGCTCTCCCCCGGAGCTCTCCCCCAGAGCTCTCCCTCCAGAGCTTTCCCCCAGAGCTCTCACCCAGAGCTCCCCTCCAGAGCTCTTGGCGTGAAGGAGCCCCCAGAGGATCGTTCCCAGGGTAGTGAACAAAACATATCCTCAAGAGCGTGCGCAGACCTATCTGGGAGAGCTAAACCAAGGAAAATTACCGATATACCGGATTCACATTCCCCCGGGCTCCGGCGCGGTGCCGGCTCGGGCTCTGATTCCGGCTCGGGCTCCGAACTTGGGCGAAACTACGAGCTCGGGGCTCGGTGGGCGACTGTGGCGCCGGTCTGCGTTCTCCTGTGGGCTTGGTTTGTGTCCCTTGGGTGCTCCTTTGGCCGCAGACTCTCTCAAGGGTGTCTGTTTCGAGCTCCCTTGAATGCTGTTTCGGCCGCGGGCTCTCTCAAGCGTGTCGAGCTCCCTTGGGTGCTGCTTCGGCCGCGGGCTCTCTCAAGCCGTCTGTTTCGAGCTCCCTTGGGTGCTGCTTCGGCCGCGGGCTCTCTCAAGCGCGTCTGTTTCGAGCTCTCTTGGGTGCTCCTTTGGCCGCGGGCTCTCTCAAGGGTGTCTGTTTCGAGCTCCCTTGGGTGCTGTTTGGGCCGCGGGCTCTCTCAAGCGTGTCTGTTTCGAGCTCCCCTGGGTGCTGCTTCGGCCGCGGGCTCTCTCAAGCCGTATGTTTCGAGCTCCCTTGGGTGCTGCTTCGGACGCGGGCTCTCTCAAGCGCGTCTGTCTCGAGCTCCCTTGGCTGCTCCTTTGGCCGCGGACTCTCTCAAGGGTGTCTGTTTCGAGCTCCCTTGAGTGCTGTTTCGGCCGCGGGCTCTCACCAGCGCGTCTGTTTCGAACTCCCCTGGTGCTGCTTCGGCCGCGGGCTCTCTCAAGCGCGTCTGTTTCGAGCTCGCTTGGGTGCTGCTGCGGCCGGGGGCTTTCTCAAGCGCGTCTGTTTCGAGCTCCCTTGGGTGCTCCTTTCGCAGACTCTCTCAAGGGTGTCTGTTTCGAGCTCCCTTGGGTGCTGTTTCGGCCGCAGGGCTCTCTCAAGCGTCTGTTTCGAGCTCCCCTGGATGCTGCTTCGGCCGCGGGCTTTCTCAAGCGCGTATGTTTCGAGCTCCCTTGGATGCTCTTGTGGCCGCGGACTCTCTCAAGGGTGTCTGTTTCGAGCTCCCTTGGGTGCTGCTTCGGCCGCGTGCTCTCTCGAGCGCGTCTGTTTCGAGCTTTTTGGTGCTGCTTCGGCCGCGGGCTCTCACAAGCGCGTCTCTTTCGAGCTGCCTTGGGTGCTGCTTTGGCCGCGGACTCTCTCAAGGGTGTCTGTTTCGAGCTCCCTTGGGTGCTGTTTCGGCCGCGGGCGCTCTCAAGCGTGTCTGTTTCGAGATCCCTTGGGTGCTCCTTTGGCCGCAGACTCTCTCAAGGGTGTCTGTTTCGAGCTCCCTTGGGTGCTGCTTCGGCCGCGGGCTCTCTCAAGCGCGTTTGTTTCGAGCTCCCTTGGGTGCTCCTTTGCCCGCGGACTCTCTCAAGGGTGTCTGTTTCGAGCTCCCTTGGATGCTGTTTCGGCCGCGGGCTCTCTCAAGCGTGTCTGTTTCGAGCTCCCTTGGGTGCTGCTTCGGCCGCGGGCTCTCTCAAGCCGTCTGTTTCGAGCTCCCTTGGGTGCTGCTTCGGCCGCGGGCTCTCTCAAGCGCGTCTGTTTCGAGCTCCCTTGGGTGCTCCTTTGGCCGCGGACTCTCTCAAGGGTGTCTGTTTCGAGCTCCCCTGAGTGCTGTTTCCGCCGCGGGCTCTCGCAAGCGCGTCTCTTTCGAGCTCCCCTGGGTGCTGCTTCGGCCGCGTGCTCTCTCAAGCGCGTCTGTTTCGAGCTTTTTCGTGCTGCTTCGGCCGCGGGCTCTCTCAAGCGCGTCTCTTTCGAGCTGCCTTGGGTGCTGCTTTGGCCGCGGACTCTCTCAAGGGTGTCTGTTTCGAGCTCCCTTGGGTGCTGTTCGGCCGCGGGCGCTCTCAAGCGTGTCTGTTTCGAGCTCCCTTGGGTGCTCCTTTGGCCGCAGACTCTCTCAAGGGTGTCTGTTTCGAGCTCCCTTGGGTGCTGTTTCGGCCGCGGGCTCTCTCAAGCGTGTCTGTTTCGAGCTCCCCTGGTTGCTGCTTCGGCCGCGGGCTTTCTCAAGCGCGTATGTTTCGAGCTCCCTTGGTTGCTCTTGTGGCCGCGGATTCTCTCAAGGGTGTCTGTTTCGAGCTCCCTTGGGTGCTGCTTCGGCCGCGTGCTCTCTCAAGCGCGTCTGTTTCGAGCTGCCTTAGGTGCTGCTTTGGCCGCGGGCTCTCTAAAGCGGTCTGTTTCGAGCTCTTTTCGGTGCTGCTTTGGCCGCGGGCTCTCTCAAGCGCGTCTTTTTCGAGCTTCCTTTGGTGCTTCTTCTCTCGCCACCGCACGCGCACTCTCGCTCCCGCAGCGCTCACGCGCGTCGCAGAGCCGACGTCCGCCGACCCCACGAAAAACGGCGCCCCCGCGAACTCTCGGCAAGGCGCAGTTGTGCCCTCTTCCGCGGACTTGCACCAGGAACGCGGAAGCTCGCAGTCGAGGGGGGCTTCCGCGCGGGAGTAGCCGCCGCGCCGCGCCGAGTCCGCGAGCGAGAAAGCCCGTCGGACCCCGCGCGCGGCGCGGCGCCCACTGCCGCGCGGAAACCCAGGGGGCCACGTCCAGCCTCCACGCGGCGGCTCCTGGGGAAGGCTACGCGGGCGACTCTGCACCAACGTCGCGTTCGCGCGCGTAACTTTCGCGAAGGACGACTCTCGAATCGCGCTAATGCTGACATATCTGTTTCTGGGACGCACATCACTCACTCAGGCTGACGCCAGCACTCCTTCCCCCCTTGATAGGGGGGAGCGTTGGAGGTAGATCCCTAAACCCTAAAAGCAATGACTCTGGGTGGATGGGGTGGGACAGAACGCATCCATCCATCCCCCCCTACCTCCTGAGGAGGGGGGGATAGGATGGTTCTGCGCAGAAACCCTAAACCCTAAACCCTAAACCCTAAACCCTAAACTCGCCCAGGGCCGCTTGGCCCGTATCCACCCACCCATTTAGGCGGCAAGCGCCCTAACTGGCACCTCGCAGTCAGACTACCTCCTGGCCGTACGTGAATCACAGGTCTGCCCAGGTGAGTCTCGGTTGCCGTCAGGCAGGGCCCGCGAGGGCCTTATCTCATTATCAATGATGCGGCTTACGCGCAAGCGATTATCCTGTGCCCGCCTGGGCGATCGTCAAAGAGACTTATAACCCCAAAACGTCAACCGAATTCACCGTGGCGGGGGCCCTGGCTCCTCCTGCTGCGCCCACCTAATTTCGCTAAAAGACACGGATTGCCACTGGCAATTTTTTTTTCGACCTCGAATCCTAAAGTTTTCCAGAGTGGACCCCAATGATCGGCTGGCTTCCAATAGACGTTTCCTGGCGACTCGGGCCCCCGCGGGAAGCTTCTGCCGGGCCCCCCAGGCCCCCGCCACGGTGAATTCGCTCCCGCCCAAGGGCCCTGAAGCCCCCTGAGGGCCCACAGACGTTTCCTAGCGACTCGGGCACCCGCGGGAAGCTTCTGCTGGGCCCCCCAGACCCCCGCCACGGTGAATTAGCTCCCGCCCAGGGCCTCGGGCCCCCCTGAGAATCCAAATACGTTTCCTGGCGACTCGGGACCCCGCGGGGAGCCTCTTCTGGGCCTCCCAGACCCCCGCCACGGTGAATTAGCTCCCGCCCAAGGGCCCTGGGCCCCCCTGAGGGCCCAAAGACGTTTCCTGGCGACCCGGGCCCCCGCGGGAAGCTTCTGCCGGGCCCCCCAGACCCCCGCCACGGTGAATCCGCTACCGCCCAAGGGCCCTGAAGCCTCCTGAGGGCCCAAGGACGTCTCCTGGCGACTCGGGCCCCTGCGGGAAGCTTCTGCTGGGCTCCCCAGACCCCCGCCACGGTGAATTAGCTCCCGCCCAGGGCCTCGGGCCACCCTGAGAGCCCAAATACGTTTCCTAGCGACTCGGACCCCCGCGGGGTGGTCTCTGCCCCCCCCCAGACCAGCGCCACGGTGAATTAGCTCCCGCCCAGGGGCCCTGGGGTCACCTGAGGGCCCAAATACGTTTCCTGGCGACTCGGACCCTCCCGCGGGGTGGTCTCTGCCCCCCCCCAGACCAGCGCCACGGTGAATTAGCTCCCGCCCAGGGCCCTGAGGGTCCCCTGAGGGCCCAAATACGTTTCCTGGCGACTCGGCCCCTCCCGCGGGGTGGTCCTGCCCCCCCCCCAAACCAGCGCCACGGTGAATTAGCTCCGCCCAGGGCCCTGATGCCCCTGAGGGCCCAAGACGTTCCTAGCGACCCGGGGTGGCCCCGGCCCACCCCCCCAGACCAGCGCCACGGTGAATTAGCTCCCGCCCAGGGGCCCTGGGGTCACCCGAGGGCCCAAAGACGTTTCCTGGCGACTCGGGCCACCGCGGGGTGGTCCCTGGGCCCCCCCAGACCAGCGCCACGGTGAATTAGCTCCCGCCCAGGGGCCCTGGGCCCTCTGAGGGCCCAAATACGTTTCCTGGTGACTCGGGCTCCCGCGGGGTGGTCTCTGGGCACCCCCCAAACCAGCGCCACGGTGAATTAGCTCCCACCCAGGGGCCCTGAGGTCCCCTGAGGGCCCACAGACGTGTCCTGGCGACTCGGGCCGCTGCGGGGTGGTCCCTGCCCCGCCCCAGACCAGCGCCACGGTGAATTAGCTCCCGCCCAGGGGCCCTGGGGTCACCCGAGGGCCCAAATACGATTCCTGGCGACTCGGGCCACCGCGAGGTGGTCCCTGGGCCCCCCCAGACCAGCGCCACGGTGAATAAGCTCCCGCCCAGGAGCCCTGGGGTCTTATCGACCAATTATTGCGAGGCGCCACAGAAGGCCTTTCGGACCCCCCTCGGAGCTTATCGCCCATCTATTGTGAGGGGCCGCAGAAGGCCTTTTCAGACCGGTGGTCCCTGCCCCCCCCCCAGACCAGCGCCACGGTGAATTAGCTCCCGCCACGGAGCCCCGGGGTCCCCTGGGGGCCCAAATAGAACTCTGGCGACTCGGGCCCCCCGCGGGGTGGTCACTGGCCCCCCCACCAGACCAGCGCCACGGTGAATTAGCTCCCGCCCAGGGGCCCTGGGGTCTTATCGACCAACTATTGTGAGGGGCCAAAGATCGCCTTTCGGACCACTCGGAGCTTATCGGCCATCTATTGTGAGGGGCCACAGATCGCCTTTCGAACCCTCCCAAGGCTTATCGACCAACTATTGTGAGGGGCCGCAGAAGGCCTTTCGGACCCCCCTCGGAGCTTATCGACCATCTATTGTGAGGGGCCACAGATGGCCTTTCGGACCCTCTAAGGGGTCACAGATGGCCTTTCGGACCCTCCCAGGGCTTATCGACCAATTATTGTGAAGGGCCACAGAAGGCCTTTCGGACCCCCCCCGGAGCTTATCGACCATCTATTATGAGGGGCCACAGAAGGCCTTTCGGACCCCCCTCGGAGCTTATCGACCATCTATGTGAGGGGCCACAGATCGCCTTTCGGACCCTCCCAGGGCTTATCGAGCATTTATTGTGAGGGGCCACAGGTGGCCTTTCGGACCCTCCCAGGGCTTATCGACCATCTACTGTGAGGGGCCACAGATGGCCTTTCGGACCCTCCCAGGGCTTATCGACCATCTATCGTGAGGGGCCGCAGAAGGCCTTTCGGACCCCCATCGGAGCTGATCGACCATCTACTGTGAGGGGCTACAGATGGCCTTTCGGACCCTCCCAGGGCTTATCGACCATCTGTTGTGAGGGGCCACAGAAGGCCTTTCGGACCCCACATCGGAGCTTATCGACCATCTATTGTGAGAGGCCACAGATCGCCTTATGGACCCTCCCAGGGCTTATCGACCATCTATTGTGAGGGGCCACAGATGGCCTTTCGGGCCCCCCTCGGACTCATCGACCAACTATTGTGAGGGGCCACAGAAAGCCTTTTGGACACTCCCAGGGCTTATCGACCATCTACTGTGAAGGGCCACAGATCGCCTCATGGACCCTCCCAGTGCTTATCGACCATCTAGTGTGAGGGGCCACAGAGGGCCTTTTTGGACCCCCCCCAGAGATTATCGACCAACTAGTGTGAGGGGCCCGCCCGCTCTCGGTCCTCAACCCCTACCACCCCTCTGACCCTCGACGACGCCCGCCGTGATCATTTCCTGTTCTGGGCTCCTACACCCCACACCACCCTCAGATCCACTGGATGCCCTGCCTGCATCTCGCCCTTGGCCCTCCAATTCTGCCCACTCAGATTGCGCGCTGCTCATCAGGGGGGCAATCATATATAATCTCGACAGAGGGGCACACCCCGCCTGCTCAGACCCAGGGGGGCATCTGAGAACAACCCTCAAGACCAGGGTGCATCTACCCCTCCCAACCCTCTGACCCTCATGCGTGTAGTGTCATCGCTTAAGATCATTCATAGCCCGCTCTGGGACAGTCCAACCCCGCGCCACCTCCGAACCTGTGCCCTCACCCTTCCGTAGCCGTCGGCTGAGTCAAGTGTCTCGAACTGCATCCCCGGGGACACCTCTGTCCCTTTGCGCGAGCCCAGGAGTGCTTCTAAACTCTCAGCCTTTACATCGCGATGATGGCCGCGCCGTCTTCTGCGTCTCACATGATTGTGGAGCCTTCGGTGACCGTGGGGGACCCGATCCTCGTGCTCAACAGGAAATGGTTCGCGGAATAGGGCGGCGAGAGACACTGGGGTTTGTCGCGGGGTCCCTGGACCTCTCCTAGGGTCACACCAGCATCAGTGTTCAGGAGTGTTCAGCCGTGGCGATAGTGGGTGGCCCCGAGGGCAAAATTCGGTGTCTCAGACGGCCCTCCCCTGAGGTTCGACCTGATGCTGGAGGGTGCGAAGACGCTGGAGATTCGGCACCAGCGCTACATCGGGAAGCGGCTCGTGGGCGAGAAGGGCGTGATCTGGGGCAGTGTCACGCTCGGCGAGGACCCCTTCCAGATCATGAGCGACGCCGAGTGGAACGAGCTGCGCCCGAGGCACCGGTGGCCGCCGACAAGATTCATCTGCCGTACGCAAAGACTTGGGCAATGACCGTGAAGGACGTCACGTTGTTCAGCTCTTCTGTCAGGTACCTCATCATCGAAGGCCAGGAAGGCACGGCGACTTTCCGAGAAATCCCAGACGGCTGGGATCCTGAGAGGAGGTACAAGAAGGCCGACTACGAGAGGTACATGATCGACCATGGCCACCCCGCGGGCAAGGGCAGGGGGGCGCGGAAGAGGCCCGCGGCGGCATCTGGCACCGCGCGGAAACGACCCGCGGCAGCAATGGACGAGGTTGATGCAGCCGACCCCGCCAGCTCCGTCGCTGCGAGGCCACAGAAAGCCCGTCGAGCTCCGCGCCAGGCCTCGGCGGCCGCCGGCGTCGCTTCGCCTCGGCAGCCAGACCTTAACGTGCCCGTGCCGCCAGACGGGAGGTGCCTCTCCTACTGCGCGCTCGCCGCTCGCGACACGCGGGCGTGGATGCGTGAGAGGGACGTCAACGGCTTCATCCACGATGACCCCGACAGGGAGGCGAGCGAGCGCGAGGAGGCCAAGGCGCTCGTGGACAGGATCATTAGCGCCATGGAGGACGACGGCCTGCACCAGAAGGCCGCGCGCCTGCGGTTGGCGGGGGACGCAGGGTACCCTGGCGAAGACGAGCTCCCCTTCTACGCCAGGGTCCTCCAGGGGCGCATCGAGCTCGACGACCCAGTGGGCTACTTGCGGAAACATAATTATGCGGCGGACGACGACGTCGTCGACGCGGAGGCGCTGGAGATCTACGCCAAGTCCGTGAACGGTCGTGTTGTGCATGCTGCGCCGACCGTCGGCGGTGGCGCGCCCATCCCTGTCATCGAGTTCGGCGACGTTGGCACGCCGCTGCTGTACAGAGTGGCGTTCCAGATGAAGACTGGTCCCGACGGCCACTCGTCGCCCCACTGGATCCTCGCCTGCTCCTACTACATGGCCAGGGCCGCCCGACCGCCGCCGAAACCTCGGGCGCAGTTCTACGACCTGGAGGCAGGGGCGTCTGGTGGCAGCGAAGACGAGTCCGACGGGTCGCAGGGCGCTGACGTCGACGAACAGGGCAACGTGGTCGGCCTCATCGACGACGATGCGGACGACGACTCGGACGACTCCTCCAACAGGCGCTTCTGGGAGGACGCGCTGAGGGACCAGGGCACCGCCACGCCCGACGCTGGTGAGGCAGCGCAAGGCACCGACACGACCGTGGCGCACCCGGAGGCCGAGGAGGCCGCAGGGTCCGACGAGCTCACCGCGGAGGAGAGACGGAAGGCACAGGAGGAGTGGGCCGACCAGCTTATCTCCGAGGGGATGCTGCAGCCGTGGGGCGAGGACGAGCTATTCGAACCCGAGGGCTACGACCCCGACGGCGACCAGGTGCTGGGCGAGGACGACCTGCCGCTCTCCGACCTGGAGGACGCGCAAGACACGCAGCTACCTGACGCCGGAGGCGATGGCGATGGGGATGCTGCCGAGGAGCCACCGCCGCCCAGGGCGGCGCGGAAGCGCCCTGCCAGCAAGGCGCTGCCCGAGCAGGAGGAGCAGCCGAAGCCGAAGCAGCGGCGTTGGGGCAAAGACCTGTGCCCAGGCCGAGATGGAGGGCCGCTCTGTGTGTACGCCACTGACGGGCGCCCAGGCGAGAAGGCCCACGTACACCCGGCGCGGGGCGACCCGCGATGCATGTTCTGCGACGGCGACACCCTGCGGGCGCGGGACGCCGTCCGCAAGGGCCAGGACATCACCAGCGCGCTCAAGAGCCTCATGCAGTACGACCGCCCCGACCTCGTCGACGGCGCCCTCGACTTCATCGCCGCGGTGCTCGGCCAGGAGAGGCGCGACAAGTACAGGGCCAACGCCGAGCGCGCGCTCCACCGACAGCGGAAGAGGGACAACCCAGTGCCCGCGACCGACCTCCAGAGCGAGTGGGAGGAGGCGCTAGAGCATCGCGTGAGCGTGGTGCCGCGGCAGAAGAAGCAGACGCGAAGGGCCTACCCCACCTGGGTCAGGGACGACAGGAAATTCCGGCGCAACAAATTCAAGACCGCCCTGGACGACGACGTCGAGGACTGGGCGGAGCCGCAGGCCGTGGCCTTCACCAAGTGGGCGGAGCTCGCCTCCTGGGGCATGTGCAAGATCTGCAAACGCCTGGAGAAGAGGTCCTTCGCGCCCGCGGACGTGGCGGCGGCGATGATGCGCCTCCCCGACGCGGAGCGCAAGAAGGGCCGCAAGGCTGGCCAGCGCAGCGCCTGGATCAACAAGTGCAAGTACTGCGCCAGTCCGCCAGAGAAGCGAGTGGGCTACCCCGCCGTCCAGATCGAGGACATCCCCGAGCCGCTGCGCCACCTCAGCGTGGACGCACTCGAGGCGTTGAGGCCGATGGAGGTGTCCATAGGGCCGCATGCGCGGGCCGCACACGGATGCAGGGTCCACACCGACATGATCGGCTTCCGCTGGAAGGCCACCGACGTCCTCACGGCCGTGAGCGAGCTCCCCGAGCGCCACCAGCGCAGGGCCATGGACGCCCTCGAGTACCTCGAGGCGCACGACGACCCCGCCGAGGAAGACTTCTCCAGCTGGGCCACGCTCACGGACTACTACCTGGCCCACCCTCAGAAGAGCGCGTACTTCGCCATCATGCGCTTGCACAACAGGTTCCTCCGCAGGAACCGCAACGACCTCTCGCAGAAGAAGCGCCGCCTCGCGATGCGCCTCGTGGAGCAGCTCGGCATCGAGACGGCCATCTGGCCCCACCTGTACCCGAGGGTGTCCATGTGCGAGACCTACGTCCGCCTGCTGGACGAGCGGCGGATGGTGCGCACGCGGGCCGCGCGACGGGCTGCGCACTTCGGCCAGGACGACGAGAATAGCGACGACTCTGCCGACAGCGACGACGCAGAGGCCGACGGCAAGAAACGCCAGTCGCTCAAGCGCAGCTACACGGCCAAGGTCTTCTCGCCCGTGATCGGCTACGGCGCCGACACCGAGCTCGCCCAGTTCGTCTACGACCTCTGGCTCTGGACGGCACTGGGGGGCAAGAAGCACGCTGCCAAGGTGCCAATGCGCCTGGCGCTGGCTGGCATGTCCTTCAGCCCCGAGTACTGGCGGACCTACCACTTCGCCCTCATCGATTTGCAGCGCCAGCTGGGCTTCCCGACCCTGTTCGTGACCCTGTCGCCGCTGGAGTGGTCCACGCCGTTCCACGTCTGGGTCGAGGACGAGATGCGGCGGGCGCTGCGGTCGCGCACGTGGCTTCCGGCCGCGGAGACCTACCACCTCTCGCACGTGCTCACCCAGGCCATCGTTGGGCTGCTGACTGGCACCCAGGGGAAGGCGCGGAGCGAGGCGAGCGCAGCGTGGACGCACCACGTTCTGGCTGGCAAGGACGCCGAGGGCAAGCCGACGCAGCGCGTGATCACGCAGTTCGCGCGCATCGAGTTCCAGGACGGCAAGCGCAAGCGCGGCGGGCCCAACGCGCGGCACGCCTACCACGGCAGCGGCCGCCCCCACGTCCACTGCCTCGTCTGGCTGGAGAAGGTCGCCACGATCGATCTCCCGAGCAAGGTCTCCGCCACCATCCCAGACGACGAGGGAGCAGGAGCAGCTCTACCACATCGTCATGGGCTCCCAGACCTCCACGCACGGCTCCCATCCGTGGCCTGAGCGCAAAGAGGACTCTATCTGGGACGAGCGGGGGAAGACGCTGAGGCTCCACCACACCGCCAGGGACCTGCACCACAAGCTCCGCGCATATATGCCAGCCGTCATCGCAGGCATGAAGTCCCACATGGACGTGCAGACCTCCGATGGCCGCGGCATGCTCCTGCGCTACGTCTCCTCCTACACCGCCAAGTTCTCCGACCAGTTCTCCTCCGAGTGGCTCAATGACGAGGCCTCCGACTACGCCATCAGCCGCCGCATCCTCACGGAGTTCCACCCGCTCGAGCCCGAGATGTGGCTCCAGCTTGCCGCAGCGGAGTACTCCCAGGTCCTCACGCACGGCACGGTCAAGAATATCCCCGTGCCCGTGCCGTGGAAGGGCAATGAGATGCCCGCGGTCGTCGAGCGCTACACGCGCAGCGCCTGGCGACCCGACCACATGAGCCTCCTGGATTACGTGCGGCGCTCCAACAGCAGGGGCGGCGTACACCGAGCGCTCCGCCTGCGCTACGCCAATCTCCAGAAGGCGAACGACCCCTCCGTGGCCAACGTCGACCTGGAGACCTGGGCCGCGCGCGTGCCCATGCGCGGCGAGGTCCTGGTGGCGGCGCGCTCCAACTCTCGCTTCAGCGACGAGTACTACGGCCAGTGGATGCTCCTCCACGTCCCCTTCCGCAGCGTGGATGAGCTCTGGCAGGATGCCGCGGAGCTCGTACCGACGGGGTACAGGCTGTTCGCCCACTGCCTTCTCCACCGCCCTGACCTTTGGCGGAGCGAGGCATGGTTGCGCGCCGACATGCAGCTGGAGGCTCACCGCGACCCGACCATCGACTCCAACGTGGCGATGATCAAGGCGCACATCACCCTCGTCGACGACTACCTGGAGGGCCGCCTCGTGGTCGGGGAAGACCCCGAGCCGCCGCGAAACCACTACGCCTTCGATGGCCGCATTACCACCCTCGAGCCCGAGCAGATACCCGTCGCCGATCTCATCACGAGGCGCTGGCACAGGGCGGTGGAGCTCGCCTGGCCCGACGACTACGAGGAGCACAACCACGGCCCGCCCGACGACGAGGACCCGCGCCCCATCGCCGTCCTGGGGCCCGCGGGGAGCGGCAAGTCCTTCCTCATCAAGGTCGTCATGCAGGACGCCATCGCCCAGGGCGCCCGCGTCCTCCTCGCCTGCCCCACGCGCCGACAGGTGGCGCGCTACCGCGAGGACATGCCCGACCTCGACGTCGACAGCATCCACAGGGCCTTCAACGTCTACCTCCCGGAGCAGCAGACGCTCCAGCGCATGCAGGACTTCGACCTCGTTGTCATCGAGGAGATCAGCATGGTCGAGATGTGGATCTTTGAGCGCCTCCTGCGCCTCTGGGACGCGGCCGCGCGGCGCCCTGCGCTCGTCTTCGTCGGCGACTTCCGACAGCTCCGCTGGATGGACAGCCCGCGCGTCCTCGAGCACTGGCGCTGGGCCGACGTCGACGTGAGGGAGCTCAAGATCATGCGCCGCTGCAAGTGCCCCATTCTCAAGAAGAGGCTTGAGCTCCTCCGCACTGCCACGCCGAGCAGGCCGCAGCTTGTGGAGATCATCAGGGACCATCGCGCGCCTTCGCCCGGCCATCGGGATGTGGGCTGGTGGGAGCGCGAGGAGCCCACGGAGTACGAGATCGGCCAGGTCTTCGAGGAGCACCCCACCACGACGATCGTCACGATCTCCAGGGCCAAGGCGGCGTGGGTCAACCAGGCAGCCTTGCGGCGCTTCTACTGGGAGCAGGAGCCGCTGGGCACCGTCGACGCCGACCCTGAGTTCAACCCCGACAACTTCTACGGCACCAAGCAGGTCAGCTGGCACAACATGCGCCTCCCGATCTACCAGGGCATGCGCGTGGGCTTCACCGCCAACATTCGCCCCGAGATCGACTTCGTCAACGGCATCGAGGGCCACGTGATCATGATGGACCACACGGGCGTCTTGGTCAAGACCACCACGGGCCACATGGTCAAGGTGCCGCCCTACACCAACCCCGAGTGGCGCAACGTTTACTACCCGCTGCGACTTGCGTACGCCACCACCCTCATGAAGGTGCAGGGCGATACCCTGAAGCATATGACGCTGTGGATGGACACGCCGGGCGTGGAGGCAGCGGGATACGTGGCATTGTCCCGCGTTCAGCATGACAAGGACTGGACGTTCGTCGGCTACCTGCAGCAGAAGCACTTCATCCCGGCCAACATCTGAGCAGCGTGCTCGGCAGGCGCGCTAGCGGGCGCGCGCGCGGGGCTCGGCCCGAACGCAGTGGCGGCGCGCACAGGCGCCACCGAAAAGATGTCTTGGAGGAAGCAGGGGAATCGAGGAGGAAACCCACAGACCCGATAGAGATCCTTGAGGCCGAATGAGGGAACCCGTAAGACTCGCAGGACCCAGTGGCATCTCATAGACTTGCACATGTCGTAGGACCGAATAGTTTCTGCATGCTTGTCATCTGGTCTGGAAGCTCGGCGATGGGGGGGGGGCTTCCGCGCGGCTTTGGCCGACCCTTCGCGCTGTCGCTGGGAACCTTTCAGCCGCGCGCGCGAGGGGTCGGCCAGAGCTGCGCGGAAACCCAGGGGGCCATATCCGTCCGCCTCCACGCGGCGGCCCCCGGGGAAGCGTAGCGACCTCGACCCGACGCGTCGGGTCGCGTCGCTGCGTTTCGCGAAGGACGGAGCTCGCGCGACTACGAACCCCACCGTGTGATACACAAAGCACTGTATGTCGTACACATGAGAAGGAAGGATTGACAAACTGATTGGGGTCCTGGACCCCTAAGGGAAAGAGAATCTCGATTACAAGTGAACCCTAAACCCTAATAGAGAAAGCCGTGGGTGGTTCGCCGCCCTAACGGGCGCGGGGTGGGAATGTGAAAAGGGGAGCTGGCCCCGTAGCCGAAACATGATTCCGCTCAACATGATATCACTTCAACACGATTACCCCACCCCCACTCCATTTGATGGGTGGGGGTGGTCTTACACGATTGAAGATCAGCAAGCGCTGACAGAGGACACCCTAAACCCTAAACCCTAAACCCTAAACCCTAAACCCTAAATTCCCAAGCACCTCGTTGTGCATCTGCCCACCCCACCGCGCATCACCGTCGCCGTCTACGAGAGACAGGGCTTCTCTGAGATGCTTCAGCTGGTTGCCCGACTGGGTCGTCCTGGTAGCCTAGGGCTACCTAACCCCACGCTTGAGGATCTACGATGCAAAGATAAACCATGCTTGATCTTCGAAGAATACAACACCCTAAACCCGGTGGCTTTCGTCCTCGGGTGGGGTTCTACATGTCTCCGACACGTAAAAACACGTGTGGGGCGCTCTATAGCGCTTCTGGGCGCACTTGTGAGCGCCTGGGAGCGCCTGGGAGCGCCTGCGAGCGTGCGGGAAGCGCCTGGGAGCGAGTGGGAGCGCCTGGGAGCGCCTGGGAGCGCCGGGGAGCGCCTGGGAGCGCCGTGGAGCGCCTGGGAGCGCCCGGGAGCGCCGGGACGCGCCGGGGAGCGCCGGGAACGCTGGGGAGCGCTTGGGAGCGCAGGGGAGCGCTGGGGAGCGCCGGGGAGCGCCGGGGAGCGCATGGATGCGCCTGGGAGCGCTTGGGAGTACCTGGGAGCGCTTGGGAGCGCCAGGGAGCGCCTGGGAGCGCCTGGGAGCGTGCCGGGAGCGCCTGAGAGCGCCTGGGAGCGCCATGCGCCTGGGAGCGCTTGGGAGCGCTTGGGAGCCTGCCGAAAGCGCCAGGGAGCGCTTGGGAGCGCCTGGGAACGCGTGGGAACGCTTGGGAGCGCCTGGGAGCGCTTGGGAGCGCCGGGGGGCGCCGGGGAACGCCTGGGAGCGCCTGGGAGCGCTTGGGAGCGCCAGGGAGCGCCTGGGAGCGCTTGGAGCCATTTGGGAATTTAGGGGCCAGCGGCCCTAAACCCTAAAAGGCTGTAGTTTGGGAGGTCGCCGGCCATGCGGCCGGGGGTGGGAAGATGTTGCAACTCCTGCTCCCTTCGCCAAGCTTGCTCGGGTCGGCGAACCGCACCCCCAATCAAGCTTGCCGAAGGGGGGGCAGCATTGCCTGGACTGTCGGCCGCTGCGCTAAGAGAAACCCTAAACCCTAAACCCTAAACCCTAAACCCCAACACCTAAGAACTAAGAACCTATAAATATTTAAACCATAAAACGCCTTGAGCGGCCCTTGAAGCGCCCTAATTCCTAAACCCTCATTCCATGCGTGCAGGCACACGGATCGTGCCTCTCCCGCCTGGCGGCTAATTCCTAGACCCCCATCGCATGCGTGCAGGCGCACAGATCGTGCCCTTCCCGCATGGCGGCTAATTCCTAAACCCCCATCGCATGCGTGCAGGCACACGGATCGTGCTCCTCCCGCATGGCGGCTAATTCCTAAACCCGCATTCCATGCGTGCAGGCACACGGATCGTGCCCCTCCCGCAAGGCGGCTAATTCCTAAACCCCCATCGCATGCGTGCAGGCACACAGATAATGCCCCTCCCGCATTGCGGCTAATTCCTAAACCCCCATCGCATGCGTGCAGGCACACGGATCGTGCCCCTCCCGCATGGCGGCTAATTCCTAAGCCCGCACTCCATGCGTGCAGGCACACGGATCGTGCCCCTCTCGCATGGCGGCCCATTCCTAAACTCCCATCCCATGGGCGCCCTCGCACGGATTCTGCTTCTCCCGCGGATCCCGAATCTCCGTTCCTAAAAATCGAGGCGCGGAGGCGCAAGAGGGCGAAACAATTTCAAACATGCCCCAGGGCGTCGGTTCTCGCTTACGTCCTGGCGCTGCACTCGGAGCCCGAATTTCCGTCCCCAAAAATGGACGGGGTGCAACAGGGCGAAATAGTATTCAAACGAGCACCAGGGAATCGGTTCTCGCTTACGTCCTGGCGCTGCACACGGAGCCCGACTTTCCGTCCCCAAAAATGGACGGGGCGCAAGAGGGCGAACCAATACCCAAACGGGCTCCAGGGAATCGGTTTTCGCCTACGTCCTGGCGCGGGCCGGCGCGCGTCGCCGTCATCCTGATCGCATGATTGCGCATCGACTCCGCGTCGCCGATGAATTGAGTTCTGTATGTATTGGGTCATGGGTGGGTGGGATACATCCAGAAGGCTTCGAGTTGAGCTAGTGGACCCTAAACAACCTAAAGCATTATTAATTTAAATTGTAAACCAATTCTTCTGGGATGTATCTCCGCGCTGTCCGCCCTCTGCGATCCCTTGCAAAAAATACAATGCGGCGCGCATGCGCCTCGGCGCGCGCGGCATCTGTTGCGACTTTCCCTATCAAATCATACCATGCGGCGCAAATCGGGCCGCGGCGGCTAATTCCTAAACCTCCACCATCCCTTATCGAATCATACCATGCGGCGCACCTCGGGCCGCGGCGGCCAATTCCTAAACCTCCACCATCCCTATCGAATCGTACCGTGCGGCGCACCTCGGGCCGCGGCGGCCAATTCCTAAACCTCTACCATCCCTATCGAATCGTATCACGCGGCGCACTTCGGGCCGCGGCGGCTAATTCCTAAGCCCCCACCGCCCCTATCAAATAATACCACGCGGCGCGCATCCTGTTACGGCGGACAATTCCTAAACCTCGGGGTTAGTCGCGTTGGCGGGGGGGGAGCAACCCTGGGCTGTGGGGAGCGGCGTCCCTCGTCGTCGTCCTCCTCCCTCGCTTGCCGCTCGCCGTCGTCTGTCGTCGTCGTCGCCGCGTCGTTGGCCGCTCGTCGTGTCGTCGTCGTCGTCGTCGTCGTCGTCGTCGTCGTCGTCGTCGTCGTTTTCGTCGTCGTCGTCTTCGCCGCCGCCGTCTTCGTCTTCGTCGTCGCCGTCCGTCCGTCCCCGCCTCGAGCGCCGCGCTGCAGCTGCGCTGCGCTGCAGCTGCGCTGCGGGGCTGCAGGGCTGCCAGGCGGCCCGCGGCAGGCGAGCTGCAGTGCCTGTCGTCGTCGTCGCCGCGTTGTTCGTCGCTCGTCGTCGTCGTCTTCGTCGTGTCGCCGTCCGTCTGTCCCCGCCTCAAGCGCCGCGCTGCAGCGGAGCTGGGGCTGCGCTCAGCTGCGAGACCAGGTGGGGCGGCTGCAGCAGGGTGCTGAGCAGCCGCTCAGTCCAGGACCACAGATACCGCGGGCGAGTCCACCTTCTCGTAGAAGAGCAGGTAGGTGTGGCCCTTGACCCTGTCGCGCACGAACGTCGTCCCCTCGCTCTCTGTGGCTGGCCGCGCTGCTTTGTCGTCGCACACGTGCCAGCGGTCGCCCCGCGAAGCGAACGCCACGTAGTGGCCGCTGCGAGCTGAGCTGCCCTCGTGCGTCACCACTGCGCGCAGCGCGTAGGTGGTGCCGACGGCGACGACGACGGCGACGACGACGGCGACGACGACGACGGCGAGTGCCTCCGAGGGCCCCCGACGGCCCACGAGGGCCTCCACGAGCCTCCGAGGGGCAGCCTCCCACGGCATCGGGGGGCCTCCGAGGGCCCCCGATGGCCCCCAAGGGCCCCCGAGGGCCTCCGAGGGCCTCCGAGGGCCTCCGACGGCCTCCGAGGGCCTCCGGGGGCCTCCGACAGCCTCCGAGGGGGGCAGCCGACCGCCTCCGAGGGCTTCCGAGGGCCCCCGAGGGGCAGGCTACGACGACGACGACGACCACGACGACGACGACCGCGACGACGACGACGCCGACGACGACGAAAACGAGGATGACGAAAATGACGACGAAAACGACGACGACGACGACGACGAAAACGACGACGACGACGACGAAAAGGACGATGACGAAAACGAAGACGAAAACTATGACGACGACGACGACGACGAAGACGACGACGACGAAAACGAAGACGAAAACTATGACGACGACGACGACGACGACGAAAACGACGACGACGAAAACGACGACGACGACGAAACCGACGACGACGACGGCGACGACGAAAGCGACGCCGACGACGAAAGCGACGACGAAAACGACGACGACGACGACGACGACGAAATCGACCCGCCCGTTAGGGCCCGCCCGCCCGACTCGACCCGCCGTTAGGGTCCGCCCGACCCGACCTACCCGACCGTTAGGGTACGCGCGTGCCAACTCGATGACGCATCGTAGTTTAATGTTCCTCCATCGAGTGGTGTTTGCCGATGTATGTAATGGGAATCCAGGGTGGGTGGGGTTTGAGCACCGCGGCAGTGTGTCATCGACATCCATGTGTTTTTCTACACGCTTTCCTGGTGGACCCTAAACCCTAAACCCTAAACCCTAAACCCTAAACCCTAAACCCTAAACCCTAAACCCTAAACCCTAAACTGCAAGCCACGGGCGGTGCAACGTCCGTAGCCCGTGGCGTCTGGCCGAGCGCTCAGCGAGCCTGCCCATGCAGCGTGCGCCGCACCGACGAAGCGGCGATAGCCGCTGAGGAGGAATTCGCACGCCGCGCGGTGCATCCCCGTGGTGTTCTCCTAAGAAAAGGAACCCCTAACCCTCAGCCCTAGCTAGTGGGTCCCCCGTGAGCCGATGCTTCCTCTGGGGCTCCAAACCTATGAAAATACACCATGCGGCGCCCCCTGGGTGCTCCAAACCTATGGAAGCGCGCAAGCGGCGCTCGAAGCGCTTCCAAACGCTCCAGGCGCTCCCAAGGACTGCCCAAGCGCTCCTGGCACGCTCTCAAGCGCTCCCAAGCGTTCCCAGGCGCTCCCAAGCGCTCCCAAGCGCTCCCAGGCGCTCCCAAGCGCTTCCAGGCGCTCCCAGGCGCTTCCAAGCTTTCTCAAACGCTCCCGGCACGCTCCCAAGCGCTCCACGGCGCTTCAAGCGCTCCCGGCACGCTCCCAGGCGCTCTCGGCACGCTCCCACGCGCTCCCAGGCGCTCCCAAGCGCTCCCAAGCGCTCCCAAGCGTTCCCAAGCGCTCCCAGGCGCGTTCCCAAGCGCGCGCTGGCTGCGCTCCCAGGCGCTCCACGGCGCTCCCAAGCGCTCCCGGCACGCCCCCAAGCGCTCCCAGGCGCTCGCAGGCGCTCGCAGGCGCTCCAAGGCGCCGCGCGGCGCTCCCGTGCGCTCCCAAGCGCTCCCTAGCGTGCCCAGGCGGTTCCAGGCGGTCCCAGGGCTCTTGGGGGAAGCTTCAGGCGCTCTCCCAGCGCTGCCAGAGGGCCCCCCCAAGGCATTCCACGGGCTCTGCCATGGAGGTGCTGCCGCAGCCATGCGCGCGCATCCTAGCGAGGGGGTGCTAGACCCACCCCCTCGCGCTTCCCCTCCAGCCGTCCGAAGCTCGCGCCGAAGGCGGCTGCGTCGATGATTGCAATCGCTTCAGCGGGGGGGCGACCCCAAAGGCGAAACCCAAAGCCGCGGGCGAATATAACTGCCGTGCGCGTCGCCGTCAGCGAGGAGCCCGACGGCGCAGCCACTCGCTCCAGGCCCACGGGATACCATGGGATTGCCGCGCCAGCGCCTTCGCAGTGCTGCTTGCCAATGCCGAAGGCAAATGCCGGACCCTTGTGGAACTGCTGCGCCAGCGGCAGCCCACCGGCGAAGCTCCACGCCGAAGGTGCAAACGGCTGCCTCATCGACGAGGCGACCTGACGCGCCAGCGCCATGCACCCTGCGCGCGCGCTCGCATCGGCGCGCGCTGCTACGGCCGCGGCCGCGCGCGCGCATCCCAGCATTCACAGCCCAGTGTCACAACAACCCAGTGCCGAAGGATGGACATGCTGCGCCCTCGGCAGCCCAACGGCGAAGCTCAACGCCGAAATCGCCAAAGGCTGCCTCTTCGACGTTGCGACGAGCCGACGCGCCTACGTCACGCGCCCTGCGCGCATGCTCAAATGGATGCGCATGCTCAAGTGGATGCGCGCTTGGGAACGCTCCCAAGCGTTCCCAAGCGCGCACGCTCCCAAGCGCTCCCAGGCGCTCCCAGGCGCTCGCAGGCGCTCGCAGGCGCTCCCAGGCGCTCCCAGTGCTCCCAGGGGTTCCCAGGCGGGACCAGGCGCTCCCGGCACGCTCCCGGCACGCTCCCGGCCACTCCCAGGCGCTCCCAGACGCTCCCGGGCGCTCCCGGCACGCTCCCGGGCGCTCCCAGGCGCTCCCGGCACGCTCCCGGCACGCTCCCGGCACGCTCCCAAGCGCTCCCAGACGCTCCCGGGCGCTCCCGGCACGCCCCCGGGCGCTCCCAAGCGTTCCCGGCACCTCCCGGCACGCTCCCAAGCGCAGGCGCTCCCTAGCGCTCCCGGCGCGCTCCTGGGCGCTCGCGGCACGTTCCCGGGCGCTCCCAGGCGCTCCCGGCACGCTCCCAGCGCGTTCCCGGGCGCTCCCAGGCGCTCCCAGGCGCTCCCAGGTGCTCCCAGGCGCTCCCAGGAGCGCGCGCAGCGCGCTGGGACGCTTCTGGGACGTCTGGGAGACAGCCGCCGCGCGGGAGGAGCGCGATCTTCGAGCGGGCACGCGAGGAAGCACTCTCGGAACAGCGCAGTCAGACAGACGCCGCGCGGGAGGGGGCGCGATCTTCGAGCGGGCACGCACGGAAGCGCTCTCCGCGATAGCGCACCCCAATTGAAACCGCCGCGAGGTCCGCAGACGCTAATACGTTGTGTAAGCCCGAAACCCGAAACCCTAAACCCTAAACCCTAACCCTAAACCCTAAACCCACCCTGAATCCTTCAAAACCGGCCGCTATGCATCCCCCCCTTCATCCCTGGCAAAAAATACGATTTCCAGATCATGCGCTCTCTATGTGCTCTGAAAACGATGTTTTTTACAATGGATCGTGACCGGGTCTATAAACGGGCCGGGCTGATCCTTGTCAAAAAACACTATATCCTGATCATGCGCATCGCATATATCAGAACACCTTATTTTTTACAATACATTCTGCCCAACCCGGATCGCGGGCCGGGAAATGTACCGGAGTTTTGTGTTGTATCATGCGCTCTCTATGTGCTCTGAAAACGATGTTTTTTACATTGGATCGTGACCGGGTCTATAAACGGGCCGGGCTGATCCCTGTCAAAAAACACTATATCCTGATCGTGCGCATCGCATTTATCAGAAAACAGTATGTTTTACAATACATTCTGCCCAACCGTGGTCGCGAACCGGGAAGTGTACCGGAGCTTTCTCTGATAAAAATATAATAACCTTAACACTCTGCTCTTGCAAGATGTGTCCATGCTCATTTTCCATTGCAAAAAATACGACAAAATGCGCACGCGCGCGGCCGCCCCGCATGCGTACCGGAGTTGTGCATTGTTAAAAAAATTATAATCTGAAGATTCTGCTCTTGCAAGATGTGTGAATGGTACTATTCCATTGCAAAAAATACGACAAAGTGGACAAGCGTGTGGCGGCCGCGCGATCATGGCCAACTTCTTTGGAAATTGTAATGTTTTTCTGCACTGGTGTTCTGCGACAGCCGCGCTAGAGGCTGCGGTTACCCAGATGTTGTGGAAGTCGCCTTTGTGCTAATCTATGTTATGCTGGCATAGCATACGAGAGGCGTGGCATAGCAAAGAACGTTGAGGTCGGGAGAACCCTAGAGTCAGCCCGACCCGAACCGACCCGCTTGTTGGGGTAGACGCGTGCCATGTGTACACGCACCATATTTTAATGTCCCGCTCGCCCGACCCGACCCGCCCGTTAGGCTCCGCCCGATTACAATATTCAACAAGGGCTTTCGTCTTGTATCTCCTTTTGTGTTTTGACAAAGGCCATGTCTGGTGGGGCAGTTGTATTTACTATAATCGGTGTGGCCATGAGTGTGCAACGGATATTCGTGTATTCATCCTATTGCGGTTACTCTTTCGCTGCTTGTTGTGCTATGTTTACCATACTCGGTGTGGCCATACGTGTGCAACGGACATTCGAGTATTCATCTTTTTGTGGTTTCTCTTTCTGTTTGTTGTGCTATGGCTTGTCATGCTATGATGAGGTATGTTATTACGATGCTATTTTGCAATCTATGCCCAGCTGTGCTGTGCATCATTCCGTCTAACAGCATCCGTTCATTTTATTCAGTGTCGTGTTTTATCGGTCTGAGGTCTTGCTTTCATCCACTTCTATGTTGTGGCAAGGCTTTTTCTGGCGGGCATGCATATTTACTATGATCGGTGTGGTCATTCTTGTGCTACGGGTATCTGTGTATTCATTCCATCGCGATTACTTTTTGGTAGTGTTTCGTCGGCTTTGTTGTGGGCGTTTCTATCTTCTTCTGTGTTGTTGCTGCGATTTGTTTACTGAGTGTATGTCTGCAGCCTTCTCTCAGCGGGGCTATCGTGACCCGCCGGGGCAAGCTTTCATGGGGACCAGGGCCCGCTCTGCGACCCGCACCCCGGCGGGTGCCAGGGCTCGCTCGCAGAGCCGCCTTGCGGCGGCCTATGATTCTCAGCTTATGTTTCGTGATTTTCTTGCCAGCAAACAATTTGTGTCCAGGTTCGAGAACAGCTGGCCTATGGATATCACAGAGGACGATGTCGTCTATTACGTGCAGCGCGTGTGCACTTTGAATAAATTTGCGGCGGCGCCTGGCGTCCTATCCGATGCGAAAGAGAGCCTGGAGCCGTGGCTCACACCTATCATCGCTTGGCGTGAGGGTGTCTACATGGACATGCGGCGCTATGGGAGTTGCATTTCGCCTTTGAATCTTTTGAATTTCGTGTTATTGGCTATTCAGTCTCGCTGGGCGTTTATGGTAGCCTGGGTATGGGTACCGTTGCTCATGGACTATGCTCGTCCTCATGCTTCTCCTGGGGAAGTTCTTCAGGGTGTTCTTGGCTATGTGCGCGAGCACGGTCCGCTCTCTTGGCAGTCGGCTGTCAACCTATTGTGCCGAGAGCTACCTCCTCGCCGCCTTGCTATTATTGAATTCACTGTGTGGATGCGCGCCCACCAAGATGATCATCGTTCCGAGACAGCTGTTTTTTGGAGTGTCTTTCGTGAGTTTTGTGTCGTCGGACCTCCGAATGCGGGCTGCTATGCGCTTGACATAGATTGATTTGCTATGAGGGCCTAGCAGTAGTTTTCCGCGCATGGGCGCTGTGTTTGGGCGCCATCGCTTGAACTGTTTCAAGCATCCCACCGGGGGTATCTGTTAGGCTGCGGTGTGGTCGGCGTATCGTCGGCTCTCCTATGGTCTCCGCCAATCCTACCTCTCGGAGTGCTCTACTGTTATGTCATTGATTATGTTTCTTTCTGTGTTAGTCTCCTTCACGACCACGCGGTCACCATGACGATCGATGACTTGACGACGACGACGTCGACCGGGACTATTATTTGTTTACCTCCTCTGCCCATGCACCTACTTATTGATTGTTTCTGCGGCCGCGGCCGGGTCCACCACCTCGTACACGTCCTATCTATTCTCGTACTCCCACCCGCCCCGCCGATGCATCCAGTCTTATTCAATCTTCTGCCTTCTGGCCGCGCCCGGTGGTTTGAACTATCGTGGGGTATCCTGCGGACTGCTGTGTACTCTATAGGCGCCCCGAGGCGTACGACCGCTGCCACTGCGGGAGTCGAAAAGAGCGATTGTGTGAGCCTGCCCTCTGTGTATCTCGTGGTGCGGCAACATTGTCTGCGTATCAAGTTCATGCGGGTGCTATGCTAAGCTCTGCTATGCTATGCTACGCTATGCTACACAATAGGTTACCTTTTAATGGGGAACCTATTTCATGATGTGCTATGCTATGCTATTACTATGTTATGCTGCACCATAGGTTCCACTTATTGGGGAACCTATGCTTTGCCATGCTGTGCTATGATATGTTATGCTACGCTGTGCTATACATAGGTTCCCCACTTAGTGGGGAACCTATGGTGTAGCATAGCGGGGCTATGCTATGCTATGTTATGCTACAGCATAGGTTCCCCACTTTGTGGGGAACCTATGCTTTGCCGTGCTGTGATATGCTATGCTATGCTATGCTACGCTATGTTACACCATGGGTTCCTCACTTAGTGGGCAACCTATGCTTTGTCATGCTGTGCTATGTTATGTTATGTACATCATAGGCTCCCCACTTAATGGGGAACCTATGCTTTGCCATGCTGAGCTATTCTATGCTGTTTATGCTATGCTATGCTATGCTACACCATAGGTTCCCCACTTAGTGTGGAACCTATGCTTGGCCATGCTGCGCTATGCTATGCAATGCTGTGCCACGCTATGCACCATATGTTCCCGACTTAGTGGGGAACCTATGCTTTGCCATGCTGTGCCATGCTATGCTTATACGCTATGCTGTACTACTTGTTCCCCGCTTACTGCAGAACCTATTATTTGCCATGCTGCGCTATTCTATGCTATGCTATGCTATGCTTTGCTACACTATAGGTTCCCCACTCAGTGGGGAACCTCTGCTTTGCCATGCTGTGCTCTGCTATGCTATGCTATGCCACGCTATGCTGCACCATAGGTTCCCCACTTAGTGGGGAACCTATGCTTTGCCATGCTGTGCTATGCCATGCTATGCTATGCTATGTGATGCTACACCATAGGTTCCCCACTTAGTGGGGAACCTATGCTTTGCCGTGCTGAGCTATTATACGCTATGCTATGCTATGCTATGCGACACCATAGGTTCCTCACCTGATGGGGAACCTATGTTTTGCATGCAGTGCTTGGCTATGCCAAGCTGTATTCTCTATGCTACACCATAGGGGTGCCACATAGTGGGAGGCTTATGCTTTGCCATTGCGCTATTCTATGTTATGTCACATCATAGGTCCCCCATTCAGTGGGGAACCCATGCTTTGCCATGTTGCGCTATGCTATGCCATGCTATGCTACGCTATGCACCATAGGTTCCCCACTGAGTGGGGAACCTATGCTTTGCCATGCTGTGCCACGCTATGCTTATACGCTATGCTGTACTATATATTTCCCATTATTGTAGAACCTATGATTTGCCATGCTGAGCTATTCTATGCTATGATGTGCTTGAACATGCTATGCTACACCATAGGTTCCCTACTTAGTCGGGAACCTATGCTTTGCCATGCTGTGCTATGCTATGCTATGCTATTCTGCACCATGGGTTCCCCGCTTAGTGGGGACGCTATGCTTTGCCATTGTGCGTTGTGCCATGCTATGCCACGCTATGGTACATCATGGGTTCTTCACTTAGTGGGGAACCTATGCTTTGCCATGCTGTGCTATTACGCTATGCTATGCTGTGTTATGCTACACCATAGGTTCCCCACTAAGTGGGGAACCTATGCTCTGCCATGCTGATCTATTCTACGCTATGCTATGCTATGGTATGCTACACCATAGGGTCCCCACTTCGTGGGCAACCTATGTTTTGTTGGGTTTGGCTATGCTATGCTATGCTAAGCTCTATGCTACACCATGGGTCCCCTACTTAGTGGGGAACCTATGCTTTGCCATTCTGTGTTATTCTATGCTATGCTACACCATAGGTTCCCCACTTAGTGGGGAACCTATGCTTTGCCATGCTGCCCTATGCTATGCTATGCTATGCTACGCCATGCACCATGGGTTCTCTACTTAGTGGGGAACCTATGCTTTGCCATGCTGTGCTATGCTATGCTATGCTATACGCTATGCTACACCATAGGTTCTCCGCGTAGTGGGGAACCCTTGCCATGCTGAGCTATTCTATGCTACTGCTTTGCTGTTATTATGCTACACCACAGCTTCCCCACTTAGTGGGGAAACTATGCTTTGCTATGATGTGCTATGTTATGCTATGATAGCTACGCTATGCTACACCATAGGTTCCCCGCTTAGTGGGGAACCTATGCTTTGCCATGCTATGCTATGGCTGTGGGCCCTGGAGTGCCCCAAGGGAGCGACGACGACGACGACGTCGGCGACGACAACGACGACGACGACAAACAAGGCGTACGACGCTTGTCCGGGAAGCCTCGGCAGGGCCAGGTTGGTGGGGCGGGGGCATTGCCTCCCTGGGCAACCCGGATGCCGTATCCAGAACCTGGGACCCCATAGTCTCCACTTGGTGTGGAACCTATGCTTTGCCATGCTGTGCTATTGTATGCTGCGCTATGCTATGCTATGCTAAACCATAGGTTCCCCACTTAGTGGGGAACCTATGCTTTGCCATGCTGTTCTATGCTATGCTATGCTATGGTATGCTAAACAATTCTAAATAGTGGGGAACCTCTGCTTTGCCATGCTGCGCGATGCTATGCTATGCTAGGCTACGCTATGCTACACCATAGGTTCCCCGCTTAGTGGGGACGCTATGCTTTGCCACTGTGCTATGCTATGCTATGCTATGCTATGCTATACCATGCCATTTAGTGGGGAACCCATGCTTGCCATGCTGAGCTATTATATTCTATGGTATGTAAGTTATGCTATGCTACACCATGGGTTCCCCACTTAGTGGGGAACCCGTGTTTTGCTTTGCCATGCTGCTACTCTGTGCTATGCTATGCTACGCTATGCACCATAGGTTCCCCACTTCGTGGGGAGCCTATGCTTTGCCATGCTGGCCTATTCTATTCTATGCTATGTAAGTTATGCTATGCTACACCACGGGTTCCCCACTTAGTGGGGAACCCGTGCTTTGCTTTGCCATGCTGCTACTCTATGCTATGCTATGCTACGCTATGCACCATAGGTTCCCCACTTATTAGGGAACCTATGCTTTTCCATTGTACTATCTTTGTCATGCTGTTTTGTGCTACGGTATGCGTCACCAAAGGCTCTGTACTTAGTCTGGGTTGGGGGGGTCTGTGCTCTTCCATGCTGCGCTGTGCTATGCTGGGCTATGCCATGCTGTGCTACACCAGAGGATCTCCGCTTAATGTGGAACCCTTGCTTTACCATACTGTGTTATGGTATGCTTCGTCATGCTACGCTATGCCGCGCTACCCCATATGTTCCCCACTTGGTGCTGAATCCATGTTGCGCTGCGTATTGCTATGCTAAGCTGCGCTAGGTTGCACCATAGCCCCACTTAGGCAACGTATGCGTCCACCCTGTGCTGTGCACTGTGCTATGCTATGCTACTTCACGGCTTCCTCGCTTAGTGGGGGGCCTATGCGACTGTGCTCTTGTGCTGTGCCATGCTATTCTATGCTATGCTGCACCACGGTATCTCCTCCTGGGTGGGTGTTTGCTCGGCAGTGCCAAGGTGGACCGCGTAACACATTTTCGGCCAAGGTGGTCAGCCGCGCATTTACTATTCTCATCAGCAGAATTCCATTCACGTCCTATCCAGATGGCGCCCAAGCGCAATCCAGGCCCGCCCGTGGTCCGCTATCCCGCGTACGTCGCGAACTGCGCGGACCCGGTCATGAAGCGCCGCATGAAGAAACTCGTGCGGGAGGCGTTCCTATCGCGCCTGCAGGAGAAACTGACGGCGCATCGCAACAAGTTATTGCGCACGAAGCTCAATGGCATCGAGGACTTGGCGGCATCGGCGCTACGGCATGACCAGGATCTATTCGAGCGCAACGCTGACGAGATTAAAGATGCGCGCAATGTCATCGACCAGGAGCTATCGGATTCATGTTTTCCAGCAGTCCGGCAGTTTAGCATCAGCGTGCAGCTTCTATCGCCAGCAGCCGCAGGGAGCGGGCAGGCACGACAACTATCATCTATTGTCATCAACGTGTTTTAATAATATCATCCTCACTACGGATGCTATTCTATTATATCCAGAGAGCTTCCCACCTTTTGGGGCTTTATGCCATTCTGTGCTATGATATTCTATGTGAAGCTATGCTACGCTTGAACATAGGCTACTTTTGGGGGACCTATGTTCTGTAATGCTTTTTTGCTTTGCTCTGGTATGATACTAAGCTATGATGACTTTTATACACAGTGTGGCCTGGCTTTGTCATGCTGTGTCATGGTGTGCTACGTTATTATATGATATGCTATACTATGGTATGCCATGTTATGCTCACGGCTGCGCTGCCCCACAGTTTCACATAGTGGTCAACGTATGCTTTGCCATGTCGGGCTCTGATGCAATGCTATGCTACACCACAGGTTATTTAGTTGGGAACCGCCTCGCCATGCTATGGTATGCAAATATGCTACCTCATAGGTGCCCCACTTGGTGCAGAACCTGTGCTCTGCTTTGCCGTGTTGTACTGTACTACGCCATGCTATGCGTTGCTATGCTGCACCATGGGTTCCCCGCTTGGTGGGGAGCCCTTACCCTGTGTTCTGACTATGGTGCGGCACGGCATCTCGCAGCCGTTATGGGTCTAGGGCTGCCACCAGCTGGCCTCTTTTTTTCTTTCTCTATAGAGTGTGATTTTCATTGTTTGCAGGCATGTCGCTCCCTGAGAATCCTATGCCTCTTTGGGTTCCCATGGCGAACGTGGACTCGGCCGCTATGTTTATCGCCTTCATCGCCTGGTACCGGCAGCCTTCCTCACGCCGTATTTTCTATGCCATGCGTATGGACACTATTCTGACGCACGTCGATCATGGAGCTATCGGCCCTGTGACCGACACAGAGTGGGTGGAGGATCACTACGTGCCTATCAGGAAGTTGCTATGCGATGGTATTCTGTGCAGGCGGTGCCAGGCCCATGGTGGGAATTCTATGCTTCCGAATGGTTTCATCTTCCGCTGGTTCAGCCCTATGTGGGAAAGTATATACATGAGTCATCGCAACCCTAACAAGAATTCATGGATTCCCGACGATGGCTATGAGTACCAGGATCCAGCCGAAAGTGCACGCTATCGTGGCAATGTTGCTCGTGACCAGTATGGATCTTGCTTGGTGCCGCGGAGCAGGTGGGCTGAGGTGGCCGCTATCATGGGCATCGAGCCACCTGATCAGCAGGACTATGCACGGGACACCTCGGTGGTCCCGGAGCTGAGTCTGGAAGAGGCTCCTCGCTATGCTTCAGCGGACGATGACGACTTGGAGCATTGATAGCAGTTTCAGTGAGGGCTATCGGCATCATCGCGTGCGGAATCTCGCTTGCAAGCAATGCGTGCTTCTATGCTAGAGTTTTTGTGCCTGCTTCCAAGCTCATGTACGCGCTGCGGTTGCCGTAGCTTCCTTTCATTAGGCGGGGCTGGTCTATCCCTGACCGTAAGCGTCAGGGCCGCAGGCTATCTACATGTTGCGATTTTCAACCCGAAAATTCTTTGTCTTCGCCATGGGTTCGCGATTCGTCAAGGCGTTTTTTCTTGCTGTGCCATGTCATTGCCCTGCTAAGATGGGATTCTATATTCAGTGGAACCTGGCGTCTGATGTAATTGCCTTGCTATCCGCATTGTCATGCTATAGCGGTAGCTTTCTATAGTACCTGTCGTTGACACGCTGTGCTTTTCATTTTCTGTTATCTCATCGAGCCTCCAGTGGTATTGTGGGGCCACGCTACACGGCAGGGCAGAACCTCAGCGAACCTCCATTCTGTGCTATAGTGTGTCTGTCACGCTATTACCTGGTGTATTCTCTCACCATCATCATCATCATCATCATTCGCATCATCTGCGTGTTTGCGTGGCGTGCTATGGTCGTGGCTTGTGTGGGACGTATCGTTGTGCATTCACACCAGCTGGTTTCTCTATGCTTGTGTTTGTTGCGGGTGCTGAACTGCAACCGTACGCTATAGCAGGGCCTTATCCGTAGTCTGCCCTACGCGGCGGGGCAGAACCTCAGCGAACCTCAGCTTTGCCATGCTGCGCGATGCTATGGTATGATATGATATGCGAAACCATGGACTTCAGTTTGTTGGGGAACCTGCGGGGTAAGTTGTATTATGACATGATATGGTGCATCATGGGTTTTTTTGAAGACATATGATTCGCCATACGATGCTATGCCATGATATGCTATATCCTACAACATCAGGTTTCATTTTTTGGGGGGAACCCATGCGTTGCCCTGCTGCGCCCCCCCTCACTCACCCACACTCCAGGGAGCAAGGCCGCCCCGCGAGGGCGGTGAGGGCCGCACGCTAAGCTTTCATGTTTCACCATTTCACCATGGCAACATCTAAGTTGCTATGATACCGCCTTTGAAGACACTCCAGGGAGCACGCCCACCCCGCGAGGGCGGGGAAGGCCGCACCAAACATTTTATGTTTCACCGCGTTTCACCATGGCAACATCTCGGTTGCTATGTTCCCGCCTTCTAAGGCCACGTCGTCGAGGTCGCCGACTTGGAACTTGCCTGCGAGAGTGCGGCCGTTGCGTGCGCCCGATATGTTTCATGCTATGCGCTTCAAAAAAAACACAACAGAAAAATAATTACACGAGAGGCGAAATCATCATTTTCTTTTCAGCTCGTGGAATTTGAAATTTTTGAGCTTCCTTCAAATGCTATCAGGCATCATGGAGCTATCTTGGGGCGATCTTGGGACCTCTTGGAACATCTTCGGAGCCATCTTGGAGCTTGTCTTGGGCTTTCCGAGACGCTCTAGGAACCGTGTTGGGCCATGTTGAGCGCCCCAGCGCGCGGCCACGCTAAAAGATGAGGTTCCCCACATTTAGAAAAACCGCTGACGTATGTACTTTCCTTCTCTTTGCTATATCATGACATTCTTATAACAATAGTCTTGATCACACGTGTTCTATTTTATGTCCTGACCACGCTATACTACCAGATTCCTATAACCTACTTAGTGGGGTACCTATGCTTTGCCATGGTATGCTAAGCTACGCTATGCAGTGTTATGCTCGTTGCGTTTCGGTTCCACGCTCAGTGGGGAACCTATGCTTTGCTATGCTGGTATGCTATGCTATGCAACCTGTGCCATGCTATGCTATGTTGTGCTACACCATAGGCTGCCCACTTAGTGGGGAACCATTGCTTTGCCACACTATGCTATGCGGTGGTAGGCTACGCCATGCTATGCTACATCATGGGTTCCCCTCTGGTGGGGTCCCTATGCTTTGCCATTCTTCATGATGTGCTATTTTATTGTATGCCATGCTATGCCACACCCCTCCCCACTCCGGGATAACTTATGCTTTGCCTTGCTGTGTTATGCTATGCTATGCCACGCTATGCTACACCATAGCTTCCCCGGTGGGGAACCTATGCCATTATGCTATGCTACGCTATGCTATGCTATTCTATTCCTGGCTATGCTATGCTTCATACGGTTGCCGTAGCTTCCTTTCATTAGGCGGGGCTGGTCTATCCCTGACCGTAAGCGTCAGGGCCGCAGGCTATCTACATGTTGCGATTTTCAACCCAACAATTCTTTGTCTTCGTCATGGGTTCGCGATTCGTCAAGGCGTTTTTTCTTGCTGTGCCATGTCATTGCCCTGCTAAGATGGGATTCTATATTCAGTGGAACCTGGCGTCTGATGTAATTGCCTTGCTATCCGCATTGTCATGCTATAGCGGTAGCTTCCTATAGTACCTGTCGTTGACACGCTGTGGTTTTCATTTTCTGTTATCTCATCGAGCCTCCAGTGTCATTGTGGGGCCACGCTACACGGCAGGGCAGAACCTCAGCGAACCTCCATTCTGTGCTACAGTGTGTGCCTGTCACGCTATTACCTGGTGCATTCCAGCTCCATCACCATCATCATCATCATCATTCGCATCATCTGCGTGTTTGCGTGGCGTGCTATGGTCGTGGCTTGTGTGGGACGTATCGTTGTGCATTCACACCAGCTGGTTTCTCTATGCTTGTGTTTGTTGCGGGTGCTGAACTGCAACCGTGCGCTATAGCAGGGCCTTATCCGTAGTCTCTTTGGGTCAATGGTGGTCTTCCCGTGGGGGTCCTCTTCTTGTTATTTTAAAGACTATCACTTGCTCGTGTTCAACAATGCCGCTGACGCTCCTCGGTATCATCTATCATCCTGTGCTGTGCCGCTCTATTGCGGCGCTCGTTGGGCGCCGTGAGGAATCGTGGTTAATGGTTATCGTGCAGAGTTCTCAGAACTATTACATGACCATGGGGCAGAGGTTGTGGGACCTGGAGGTGGCCTGGCGTCTATTCCATCATGAGTTAGCCGCCCGGCAGCGGCAGACGGATGCTTGGTCTATGACTGGGCTCGATTTCCCTGCTCGCTATGGGAGGGCGGTTGACAGCTCCACATCGGATTCCGATGATTCGTCCACGGCTGTGGGCGCGAACATGCGGGCCCACATGCTCGGGCGTCTGTGATACTATGTGATTCTCTTTGTATGCACCATTGCGTAGCTATCGATTATGCGACGTTGTGTCATAGTTGGCCTGAGTGCTTGCTGCCGGTGCTCGGAACTCTATGCCTGGACCCTTGTGTTTGAGAGGAGGAAGAACTGGCGAATGGCTCATCATATTGTGTACTGGTCGCGTATGGGCCAGCTCGTGCAGCTTTCTTCGTTGGGATGGTGGTCTATCCCGTTGAAGCACACACATGGACACACATAATCACACACCCACACACACACACTTACATTCACGCGCTCGCGGACACACACACACACACACACACACGCTCGACACACACCCACTCAGTCCCACACACACACACGCAAACACATGATCGTATACCTTGTGTGTGCGCCATCCTGTGTATCGGACCATCCGGATGAGGTACCTGTCAGTTGTGTTTCACGTATGCGTGGCATTGTGAGTAGGATCTGTGAGTCTGACGCGGGTTTCTGTGATTGTCGAGCGGGGTTTCTGTGTCCTGACACTGGTCTGCATACTTTATCTGGGTCTTTGTAAGCCGACACGGCTATTCATGACTGCCGAAATAGCCTGAACTGACGAAAGGGTTTGCCGTAAGTGACGAGACGGGTTTCTATAATTGAACATGGGGTTGCCATAACCAAAGCGAGTGCGGTTTCCATGCGGGTTTCTAGAATTGAATATCGTGTCTGGATGTGATTCACGGTTGTTGATGACCAAATTGACCAAGGGTTTCTATAATTGCATACCGGGTTTTCAAATGTACATGGGCCAGTGCGGCAGTCTTATGATATGCAATGGTATGCGTTGCCATGCTATGCACGCAGGTTTCACTTAGTGGGGAACCTAAGCTTTGCCATGCTTTGCTATGCTGTGCTACGCTAAGCTAATATGTAATGCTACACCATAGCTCCCCCACTTAGTGGGGGGGGCTATGTTTTGCCATACTGTGCTATGTTAGGCTATGCTATGCTATGCTACACTATGGGTTCCCGACTAAGTGCGGAACCTATGGTTTGCCATGCTGGGCTATGGTATGCTATGCTATGCTATGATACAACGTAGATTCCTCACCTAGTGAGGAATCTAATCTTTGCCATGCCGTGCTACCCTGCTTTTCTATGCTATGCTATGCTGCACCATGGGTCAGGTTGTTGCAAACTGATGCTTCGCCATGCTCCGCTATGCTCCGCTGTGCTATGCCATGCTATGCTACAGCATAGGTTCCCCACATTGTGGGGAACCTATGGTGGTTTTTGTGATTCAATTTCGGAGCTTGTACGCCGACACGGCTATTCATGACAGTCGACACCTGGTGGCATATGGCTTAGGCTTTTCTCGAGCCCGTCGGTCTGAGACGCACCGCCGCGCCTCCTTGTCTGCGTCGGTGGTCTTCGCGAGGATGTTCGTTGCCGCTGGATGGAACCACACCGTCCTCCTCAGGAGCGACGGCACGGCCGTGGCTTGCGGTAACCATTTCTTTGGTCAGTGCGAGCTTCCGGCGCTGGTGGACAGGCAGGCTTTCCTTCAAGTTGCCGCTGGAGGCGCCTTTACAGTTCTGGTCAGGAGCGACGGTAGGGCCGTCGCCTGCGGTCGGAATGGGTTAGGTCAGTGCGATGTCCCGGCGCTACCGCGCGGCTTGACCTACACGCAAGCTGCTGCTGGCGCTAGGCACTCCGTCCTTCTCAGGAGCGACGGCATCGCCGTGGCCTTCGGCTGGAATCTATCATGCCAGTGCGACCTCCCTGTGTTGCGGGAGGGCTTGACTTACACTCAGGTGGCTGCTGGACCTGCGCACACGGTTCTTCTCCGGAGTGACGGCCGGGCCTTGTCATGCCTCTCCTTTGGGCTTTCGGGCCGTCGGTGGTCTGTCGATGTGGCGCCGCGTGGCGTTGCTTACACGCAGATTGCTGCTGGTGATGAGTTCAACATTTTTCTTCGGAGCGACGGGGCAGCTGTGGTCCGCGCAGGATCTGCGCCCTGGCGGGGCTATTTATACGCACAGGATATTCCTTGCCTTGATGATGGCATTCTTTACACGCAGGTTGCTGCTGGCTATGACCACGCCGTGCTACTCAGGAGCGATGGCACGGCGGTGGCCTGCGGCCCACCGCATCTACGAGCGGGGGCATGCTGTATCCCGCCGCTGGCCGCTGGAATGACTTACACTCATGTAGCTGCTGGAGAGGTGCACACTGTCCTACTGAGGAGCGACGGCACGGCCGTGGCCTGCGGCGTGCACGTTGACGGTTTATGCGCGCTCCCGGCAATGACGGGTGACTTGATATACGTGGCGCATTTGTTTCCACCGTTGCTATTACAGGCCTCGTTCGATGGCAATTGGATCAGCTTTGATACCCTTGCAGGGGTGCACCGTGGCAGGATCGCGGCGGCCGCCACCGATTGCTTGAAGGATATCTATGATCAAATGATGGCTGAGCATCGCGCTGGCAGGCTGGGCGCTGGATTCTGTTGTGTCGACGCGGTGTTGCCGGGGGGGGCGCTGCTCAGCGAATGCCCGGCTGGGCTGACTGTCGCCAGCGCCCTCGGGCTTCGGCGTCGGCGTGTGCATGGCAAGCGCCACCGCTCGGCGTACGTCGCGTGATCTTCCGCGCCGCTTCTCAGTATTCTGGTTCTGTCGGACGCGTGCTTTGCGTTCGTGAATGATTTGGCTATCCTGTGCATTGCATCAGTTCTGTGCTTGCTTGATCCGGTTTGTCTCGGTCTCGTCCGACCAAAGAGCGACGTCTGCTCTTCACTATAAGTTGTGAGGGAGATTTGTTTTCACAGGTCTGGTTTATGAAAGGTCGCGTGATGTGATCCTGTTCAAGGGCTCATGTCAATAGCGTGAGAAGACAAATTCTCTTTTGGGTTGCCTAGCATATCTGGGTCTTGTGTGCGGATTCTGTATGTTGCTGTTTATTCAGCGCAGCATTCTGTCATCTTATGCTGCACTGGCCCCAGAAACAGGGGGGGGGGCCTTGCGTCATCATGTTTGTAGGCCATGCTATGCTGCGTCATGTTTGACATGGTGTCCACACATTTTGTGCGCCATCCTGTGTATCGGACCATCCGGATGAGGTACCTGTCAGTTGTGTTTCACGTATGCGTGACATTGCGAGTAGGATCTGTGAGTCTGACGCGGGTTTCTATGATTGTCGAGCGGGGTTTCTGTGTCCTGACACTGGTCTCCATACTTTATCTGGGTCTTTGTAAGCCGACACGACTATCCATGACTGCCGAAATGGTTTGCCGTAGCTGACGAAACGGGTTTCTATAATTGAATACGGGGTTGCCATAACCAAAGTGAAGACGGGTTTCCATGCGGGTTTCTATAATTGAATCAGTCTTTGTCTAGGACTCATTCTCTTTGTGCATGTCCGTGGGAAGTGCTTCTATCATCTATCCTCGGGCGTTCGCTTGGCAGTGCGAGTCCCGTGCGGTGTATGATGCCTTCGTTTTATTGCTCAGCATCGCTGCTTACTCATCAGGGAAGAGTTTATCATATCCTTTCAGAAATAAGTGAAGCCATGCGTGCGCATTTTTTTGTTATTGTTTACTTGCTTATGTTTTCATTGTTAGGAGGAACGCATGCATCATCCACTTATCTATCATGTATTCCATATTATGGTTCATCAGTGTGATGACGCACCTATCCTTCGTGCACTCATTAGCGGCGTTCGGCGTATCCCGCCAGCCGCGGTACCACAGGCTACGCGACGACGACGATCATGAAGATTTCCACGAGTGCCGACGAGTGACGACGAGTGCCGACGACGGACGACGACGACGACGACGGCGAGGGCGACGACGTATGGGCCATGCTATGCTATGTCATGCCCTACCACGGGTTTCTTGCCTTCTGGCATGGTGGGCAGACCTCATGACAACGCATGTCATCTTATGCTTCACTGGCCCTGGAACCAGGTGCGGGCCTGGCTACATCATGCGTGTAGGCAATGCTATGCGATGTCATGCTGTATCTGCTAAGCGCTTGCTCCCAGGCTTGCTATACCATGCCATGCTATGCTACAGCCACGCTATGGCATGATAGAAGATATGATCTTTATGGGGGGGTGGAGATGCGGGGGGGAATGATGGCGACCGCAGGTGGGTTCCGTTGAAGGTTGTAATCGTGGCCTTGCCCTGTTAGACCCTAAACCCTAAACCCTAAACCCTAAACCCTAAACCCTAACCCTAACCCTAACCCTAGACCCTAGACCCTAGACCCTAGACCCCTAGACCCTAGACCCTAAATTCCCAAGCACCTCGTTGTGCTCCCCACGCTTGGGGATCTACGATGCAAAGATAAACCATGCTTGATCTTCGAAGAGTACAACACCCTAAACCCGGGGACCTTTCGTCCTCTGATGGTGCTCTACATGTCTCCGACACGTAAAAACACGTGTGGGGCGCTCTAAGCGCTTCTGGGCGCACTTGGGAGCGTCTGGAAGCGCTTGGGAGCGCCTGGGAGCGCCTGGGAACGCCTGGGAGCGCCTGGGAGCGCCTGGGAGCGCTTGGGAAGCGCCTGGGAGCGCCTGGGAGGGAGCGCTGGGGAACGCCTGGGAGCGCCGGGGAGCGCCTGGGAGGAGCGCCTGGGAGCGCCTGGGTGCGCCTGGGAACGCTTGGGAGCGCCTGGGAGCGCGGGAAACGCCTGGGAGCGCCGGGGAGCGCCTGGGAGCGCCGGGGAGCGCTTGGGAGCACCTGCGAGCGCCTGGGAGCGCCTGGGGGCGTGCCGGGGAACGCCTGGGCGCGCCTGGAAGCGCCTGAGAGCGCCTGGGAGCGCTTGGGAGCGCCTGGGAGCGCCTGGGAGCGCTTGCGAGCGCATGGGGGCGCCTTGGAGCGCCTGGGAGCGCTTGGAGCCATTTGGGAATTTAGGGGCCAGCGGCCCTAAACCCTAAAAGGCTTCAGTTTGGGAGGTCGCCGGCCATGCGGCCGGGGGTGGGAAGATATTGCAGCTCCTGCTCCCTTCACCAAGCTTGCTCGGGTCGGCTAACCGCCCCCCCAATCAAGCTTGCCGAAGGGGGGGCAGCATTGCCTGGGCTGTCGGCCGCTGCGTTAAGAGAAGCCTTAAACCCTAAACCCTAAACTTTAAATCTCTAATCCTTATAATTATTCAACCCTAATCCCTTCCAAACCGGTCGCTATGCAAGTCGGCCTCCATCCCTTGCAAAAAAATATATTAGTTCCTGATCATGCGATCAGAACACCATATTTTTTACAATACATTATGCCCGGCCGTGGTCGCGACCCGGGCTCATCCTTTGCAAAAAAAATTTTCATCCTGATCATGCGATCAGAAAACTATATTTTTTACAATGCAAAATGCCCGGCCCCGGTTTTCAACCCCGCATGTAACCCGGGATTCTATATGGTAAAAAATAATATAAACTCAACATCCTGCTCTTGCAAGATGTGTCCATGCTCATATTCCATTGCAGAAAAATACGACAAAGTGCGCACGCGCACGGCGGCCCCGTATGCGCACATGAGTTTTATAGTAAAAAAATTCTATAAACTGAAGATTCTGCTCTTGCAAGATGTGTGCATGGTAATATTCCATTGCAAAAAATACGACAAAGTGCACAGGCGCGCGGCGGCCGCGTGATCATGGCCAACTTCTTTGGAAATGTCAAAGTTTTTTTTTTTTTCAGCATTGGTGCTATGCGACAGCCACGCTAGAGGCTGCGGTTATCCAGATGTTGTGGAACTCGCCTCTGTGCTAATCTATGTTCTGCTGGCATAGCATACGAGAGGCGCTGCATCGCAAAGCACGTTGAGGTCGGGCGAACCCTAGAGTCAGCCCGACCCGAACCGACCCGCTTGTTAGGGTTCACGCGTGTCAAGTGTACACGCACCATACTTTAATGTCCCGCCCGCCCGACCCGACCCGCCCGTTAGGGTCCGCCCGACCCGACCCGCCCCCCCCGTTAGGGTCCGCCCACCCGACCCGGTCCGACCCGCCCGTCAGGGTTCACGCGTGTCAAGTGCACACGCGCCATACTTTAATGTCCCGCCCGCCCGACCCGACCCGCCCGCTAGGGTCCGCCCGACCCGACCCGACCCGCCCGTTAGGGTCCGCCCGCCCGACCCGACCCGCCCGTTAGGGTTCGCGCGTGTCAAGCGTACACGCACCATACTTGAATGTCCCGCCCTCCCGACCCGACCCGCCCGTTAGGGTCCGCCCAGCCATGGTGCTTCACGGCGGTCCACGAGCAAGACAATAGAGCGGCACAGCACAGGATGATAGCAGATGCTTACCAGCGTCAGCGGCATTGCTGAACGCGAGCTTTTGCACTGTGAGATAGGTGCATGGTGAGGATTTAGGGTTTAGGGCCCCGCCCGCCCGACCCGCCCGTTAGGGCCCCGCCCGCCCGACCCGCCCGTTAGGGCCCCGCCCGCCCGACCCGCCCGTTAGGGCCCCGCCCGCCCGACCCGCCCATTAGGGTATAACATGAGAGGAGAGATGATCTTTATGCGGGGGTGGAGATGCGGGGGGGGGGGGATTGATAGCCACCGCAGGTGGGTGCCAATGCAGGTAGGTATTCTTGGCCTTGCCCTGTTAGATCTCTAATCTTATTATTATTAAACCGTAAAGCATAATTTCCTTATTTTTCGCGGCTCGCCCTGCGCTTCGCCATGTAACCCCCCCGCGATCTACTGCAAAAAACACTATATCCTGATCATCCATCGTCTCCGATGTGCACTTGCCCTATCAAAAATCACTATATCCTGCCCGACCCGCCATGCAAACCCTCACGATTTACTGCAAAAAACACTACATCCTGATCATCCATCGTCTCCGACGTGCACTTTCCCAACGCATGCCCTCACCATCTGCCAGCGGGCACGCGCGGAACCCCTCTCGGGCTGCACGAGTACATGCAATCGACCCATGCATACCCCCCAACATCTGCGAGCGGGCACGCACGGAACCTCTCTCGGGCTGTACGACTATATGCAATCGACCCATGCATACCCTCACCATCTGCGAGCGGGCACGCGTGGAACCCCTCTCGGGCTGTACGACTACATGCAATCGACCCATGCATACCCTCGCCATCTGCTAGCGGGCACGCACGGAACCTCCTCGGGCTGTACGACTATATGCAATCGATCATATCCTCACCATCTGCGAGCGGGCACGCGCGGAACCCCTCTCGGGCTGTACGACTATATGCAATCGACCCTCCCCCTGTACGACTTGAATGGAGAGATGATCTTTATGTGGGGGTGGAGATGCGGGGGGGATTGATAGCCGCCGCAGGTGGGTGCCTATGCGGGTAGGTATTCTTGGCCTTGCCCTGTTAGACCCTAAACCCTAAACCCTAAACCCTAAATCTCTAATCCTTTTAATTATTAAACCTTAATCCCTTCCAAGCCGGTCGCCCTTGCAAAAAAATACGATTTCCTGATCGTGCGATCAGAAAACCATATTTTTTAACAAAAGATTCTGCCCGACCGTGGTCGCAACAGGAGCCTTTCCATTGCAAAAAATACTATATCCGGATCATGCGATCAGAAAACCTTATTTTTTACAATACAAAGTGCCCGGCCGTGGTTCGCGACCCCGCATGTAACCCGGGATTTTATATTGTAAAAAAAGTATAACCTTAACATTCTCCCTTTCAACATGCTTCATCATTTGCAAAACATACTATATCCTGATCATTCTTCCTTTCCGATGTGCATTTTCCTTTGGAAAAAAATATGCACTTCATATTCTGCTCTTGCAAGATGTGTCCATGCTCATATTCCAATGCAAAAAATACGACAAAGTGCACACGCGCGCGGCGGCCCCGCATGCGTACCGGAGTTTTGTATTGTAAAAATATTATAAACTGAAGATTCTGCTCTTGCAAGATGTGTGCATGGTACTATTCCATTGCAAAAAAATACGACAAAGTGCACAAGCGCGCGGCGGCCGCGCGATCATGGCCAACTCCTTTGGGAATTTCAATGTTTTCAGCACTGGTGTTATGCGACAGCCACGCTAGAGGCTGCGGTTATCCAGATGTTGTGGAACTCGCCTTTGTGCTAATCTATGTTATGCTGGCATAGCATACGAGAGGCGTTGCATAGCAAAGCACGTTGAGGTCGGGCGAACCTTAGAGTGCGCCCGACCCGACCCGACCCGCTTGTTAGGGTTCACGCGTGTCAAGTGCACACGCACCATACTTTAATGTCCCGCCCGCCCGACCCGACCCGCCCGTTAGGGTCCGCCCGACCCGACCCGACCCGCCCGTTAGGGTCCGCCCGCCCGACCCGACCCGACCCGCCCGTCAGGGTTCGCGCGTGTCAAATGCACACGCACCATGCTTTAATGTCCCGCCCGCCCGACCCGACCCGCCCGCTAGGGTCCGCCTGACCCGACCCGACCCGCCCGTTAGGGTCCGCCCGCCCGACCCGACCCGACCCGCCCGTTAGGGCCCCGCCCGCCCGACCCGCCCGTTAGGGCCCCGCCCGCCCGACCCGCCCGCTAGGGTATAACATGAAAGGAAAGATGATCTTTATGTGGGGGTGGAGATGCGGGGGGGATTGATAGCCGCCGCAGGTGGGTGCCTATGCGGGGAGGTATTCTTGGCCTTGCCCTGTTAGACCCTAAACCCTAAACCCTAAACTGCAAGCCACGGGCGGTGCATCGTCAGAAGCCCGTGGCGCCTGGCCGAGCGCGCAGCGAGCCTGCCCAATTCCACGTACGTGGCACCGACGAAGCGGCGAGAGCCGCTGAGGAGGAATTCGCACGCCGCGCGTATGCAGCTCCGCTGGTTCGACTCATGAAAAGAACCCTTAACCCGAAGCCCCAGCCGTGGGGTGTGCTGCGATCGGTGCCATCCCCTGGGGCTCCAAACCTATGAAAATACAGCATGCGGCGCCCTTTCGGCCGTCCGTGGGGCCGAAAACCATTTGAAAATACAGCATGCGGCGTCCTTTCGGCCGTCCACGGCGCCCAGGCGCTTCCAGGCGCTCCCAGGAGCTCCCTCAAGCTCCCCAGGCGCTCGCGGCACGCTCCCAAAGTCTCGCGGCACGCTCCGAAGCCCTCCCAGGCGCTCCCAGGCGCTCCTGGCACTCTCCCAGGCGCTCCCAGGCGGTGCGAGGACCCAGCGCTCGCAGGCGCTCCCAGGCCTTCCCGGCACGCTCCAGGCGTCCCCGCAATCGCTCCCAGGCTCTCCCAGGAGTTCCCAGGCGCTCCCGGCGCGCTCCCAGTGCTCCCAGGCGCTCCCGAGCGCTCCCAGGAGCTCCCAGGCGCTCCCGGCACGCTCCCAGGCGCTCCCAGGCGCTCCGCGGCACGCTGCCAAGCGCTCCCGGCACACTCCCAAGTGCTTCCAAGTGTTCCCCGCACGCTGCACGGCGCTCCCAGGCGTGCCTCAGCGCTCGCCGTCCAGGCATTGCCACGCGCTCCACAGCGCCCACAAGCGCTCTGAGGCGCTACGCGGCGCTCCCAACGGGACGCGTGACAATGCGCTTCGACCGACGTCCGGGGCTTACTGGGGAATGCCAGGGAAACCCCAGGCGCCCCCAGGCGTTCTCAAACACTCCCTCGCCTTCTCTGGGACGTCGGACTGCGCCTGGGAGCCGGCCTCTGAGCCTCCTGGGGATGCTTCCAGCGCTTTCCCAAACGGTCCCATCGGTTCCACGCGGCCCCTGGCGCGTACATGAGAACAGCTGCGCCTCTCCGATGCTTTCCGGAGGCGGCGCGATTCGTGGTACAGTTAGAGAGATCGAGCGAAGCTGCGCCTCTCCAGTGGCGTCCGAGTGCCCCTATCGCCTCGTCGAGACGCGCGACCAAGCATGACCTGCTTGTGCAACGCGCGCTCACGACGCGCCCACGGCCCTGCGCTTCCCCGGCGAGTGCGAGAGCACAGCTGCGCCTGTCCGACGCCTTCCGGAGACGCCGCGGATCGTGATACAATCTATTGCAGAGATCGACCACAGCTGCGCCTCTATCATGGCCTCCGAGTGCCTCTGTCGGCTCTCCGAGACGCGCAATCTGTTATTTTCTGCTCGTGCCGCGCGCGTTCACGACGTGTCAAGCTCGCGAGGGGGTGCCAGACCCACCCCCTCGCGCTCCCCCTCCCCCCGACACGAATCTCTGCGGCTCCCAGCCGCGTGCGCTGCACTACCTCGCCGCATTCATGAATCCTCCGAATGCCGAGCGCGCGTGCGACGCACGCGACGCCGCCCGCGCTCCTGCTCGTGCCATGCTCAGGCTGGTGTCATACACGCACACACACAAGCAGTGTTCACCAACACCGCCCGCGCTCGTGCTCGCGCCATGCTCATGCGAGTGCCATGCACACACAAGCAGTGTGCATACCTCTGCTGCGCTCTTGCACGTGGTGCACACGGCCACCACGCGTGCGTTATACATGCGAATGCGCCCGCGCCCGCGCTCATACCCACGCTCGCGCTGAACATCCGACGCATCAACGCATGAAGGTTTTCCTGAACGCATTGACACGAACCGCTTAACAGTCGCTGCCTGCCCTCAAGCAATACACGGTATACCGATGGTGGCACAAAGAGCTTCGGGCCTCGGGGCAAGAGCGAGCATCCGCGCCCCGTCGAGCCACGAGGTAATCACAGAGCGCCGCTGCCGCCACATCATGCAAACGCTGGAGTGAAGCTGCTGCGCTCTACGCGGCCCCCAATCATATAATCATCCGAGGTGGCCACGCGGCTGAGCGCAGTATATCCCGCAGCTGGCCTCGGCCATCCATCTAAGTATATTGTAATATGAGAAAACTCATCTCCCTGGACCTTATCTATCGTGTTAGCGTATCCTAAACGAATAGGAAAATATACAGCATTCTCCTTCTCGCGATCAGTCCAGCGGAAAATAGCGAGGCGGTGCCCCGTCTTTGTCCTCACGCGCAGGACGTCTTCGGCCTCGTGGTCGTTCTCGACCACGCATAACATACCATTCACGAAATCATCCTCTTTGCGAACGTTCTTCGTGAGGTATATCTGCATGCCCTTGTACACCGGCACAGCGCTCGGCAGGGGGCGGCGATCGGTGCGGAACTGCCCATGCTCGTAGGTCTCTGGGTTCAGTTCCACGTCGCCTGGAAGGACTGCCAGCGGGGATTTCCGACCATACAGAGCCTTCACTGCAGCTTCGTTCACCGCATTCGCTCCCTTCCTGGTACACGTGACGACGGTCGTCTCCGGGTGCGCCTCGTAGAGCTTCTTCAGATCCGTCGGCGTTGGATCGCCCATCTTCCACGCTTTGTGCTTCCGACAGATCTTCGCCAATGTCTCCTGCGACGGCTTCGCCGTGCGGATCTCGTCGAGGATCTTTTCAAAGCGCTCCTCCTTGCATCTCCACGCATCGTGCAGCTTCACGTGATAGCGCGCTGGCCGTGACCAGGCGGCGCTCTCCCACGCGCGCGTCTCCCCGACGCCAGGAAGCTGATACTTGTCGCCCAGGAACACGAGCGCCGGGACCTTCTCTGCGACGCTCCACAACTTAACCATGCGCTCAAACTGCGGACAGTCCAGGAGCGACACCTCATCCACGACGACCAGGTCGTACATGGTCATCAGCGGCAAGGACTCCGTGACCGGCTCGTTCAGCTTGAACGCTGCGTGACACGTAGCCACCTCCACGCCGTGCATGTCGTTGAGCGCGCCCCGCATGCGGCTCGCGAGCTGTGCCGTCGGGAGCGCGAAGAGCATTCGGGCGCCATTGTCCTGGGCACGCCTGATGCAAGCCTTCACCACGGTGGTCTTCCCCGTGCCTGGTTTGCCGAGGCAGATAATGGGTTTCCCCTTCTGCCATGCCTCCTCGCGCGCCTCGTCCGCGTCCTCCCAATCATCCGAGTGGTTCGCCCTGAGCGCACGGTCGACGCTCTCGTTGATCGCGGACTCGAACTGGAGCTGCTGCTGGTTGAACCTCACGTCCGCCGCCCCCTCCGCGTCGTCTCGCGGACGTCTGCGATTCCCATCCGCGGCCGCCTCCGCCTCCGCCGCAGCGCTCTCGTCGCTCTTGTCAAGAACACCCGCCAGATACATATCGATGAGCTTCCTTTGCCCCACGACCATGCTCAGAACGTTCTCGCTGAACTTTGTCGACTTCGCGGACGCCTTCATGTAGTCCACGAGAAGCTCGTCGTTGGTGAACAGGTCGCGATGCTCTGCGGCGACGCGACTTTGGTCCGAGCACAGCCGCAGCGCCGACGCCAGGTAGCGATACTTCCCGGGGACACGCTGTTCTATGTCTTCGAATACTAACTCGTCCAGCGAACGGAACGGCACGTTCATGGCAGCCCACTGGCCGTAGTAGCGGTCATTCAGCTCGTACACGGTCTCGACGCTGACGACTTTCTCGCCCTGCATGCGGTACGCCCGCGCGAACTGTTCCAACTCGGGGAAATCCACCTCGTCGTCGCTCTTCTCCCGCCTATACCTCGCGGCGAGATACTCCACGAATGTCATCGGCGCCTCCTCGCTGTTCGGCTCGTTCTTGAACGCGGCGCGGAGGCTGCGCCAGTAAGCGTCGAGCGTCAGCGGCTCCTCCCCGTCGTCCATGGTCTTCCGATACCTTTGGTAGAGCGCCCTCATGAGCTCCTGCTTGTGCTTGCGAACCAGCCAACCCGCGATGTTCCCGTCGTCGTTGGTCTTGCGCAACCACTCCAGCAGAGCCATTCCGTCGTGGCGCCACGCGCACTCGGCGTACTTCTGCACCCACTCCGGCACCACTGACATGCCCGCGTAGGGCGCCGACACGGTGCGGAACCCGCCGCTGGCCGTAGAGATGTCGTACTGCCGGAACTGGGCGCCGCACAGCTGCAGAATCATCTCCGGCTCGTACGGGTGATACTCGAAGCACACGCGGCGCGCCACGCTGTCCGCGGAGGCGCTGTCGCTCATCCACTCGTCGTAGCTGCTGTCGGAGAATTTGGCTACGTACTTGGAGACATACTGCAGGAGCATGGCCTCGCCGTCGCTCTTCAGCCAATCCTGGTGGCATGGTTGCCCGTCCATGACGTCAGCGCAAAAGGCTCGCATGCCCGCGTCGTGGTCGTTCTCCGTGTGTTTCAGCTCCAGAATGCCATCGCTGTTGTGCACCCCTGACGGCCCGTGGTAGATCGGCCACTTGCTCTCTCCGCCGCCGTGCCTGTCCATCTGCGAGCCGTCCACGTAGCCCTTGAGGTGGTCTGGGAAGTCCTCGGGCTTCGTGGCAAACAGGTGATGCTCAAGCCCCATGTTCGCCATCGCCTCGTCGTCTGCGAAGAACAACACGTGCAAGTGCGGCCGCCCGGACCCGTCGTGGCGCTTCGCCCCCTCCTTGCGGCCCCCGTCGTGGAACTCCAAGCGCGTGAAGGACTGCACGCGCACCTGCTTCCCATCTGAGTCTTTCGCCGAAAACAGGTGCTTCGTCCACGACCTACTCTCCCGATCCATGCGCTGCTGGTTGTTCCCCGCGAGGAGGCCACGGACAATCTCCATGAGCACGTGAGTGATGTGCAGCGTCTCTCCCACGGGCAGATACATGCGGGTCCTCGGAGTCTTCTCCATCTCATCCCGCAACCAGTCGTGGTACCTGAACGCTGGCTCCCACGGCGCAATGGTGAAGAACAGCTTGGGGAAGCCGATCTGGCGGACAAGGTCCACGAGCCCGTTGTGAACCTCCTTCCAGTACAGAGGTGAGAAGGTATGGCCCTTCATGAGCACTCGCATGGGGACGTTGTCCAGACCCAGGTTCTTCTTCCCGCCGAGCGTGGCCCACAGATTCAAGTCGTACACGAACTGCAACAATTCGAACTTGGACCAGAACACCAGGAGTGGTGATAAACATTTCGTGATGAAGGACCACTTGACGCTCGTGCGCTCGCTCATCTCCTGGTCGCCGCTGCCCTCGTCTTCGTCGGAGTCGTCACTGCGGTAGCCGTACTCTGGCTTCTTCTTCGCCTCCTGCGCCTGTCGTCTGTCTTCGCGACGCACATCCGACCACTGCTCATTAGTCTCCGTCATCTCCGTGCACCAGTACAGGTGTGGCCACAGCGCGCACTCCAGCCCGACCTCCTGCAAGAAGTGATACGGCCGCTTGCGCTTCCTATCAGCGGCATCTTCGCCGTTCTTGCGGAGGAACTTCTCATGCATGTCGTAGAAGTACTTGTACGAGGACTCCTCGCATGACAGCAGGTACTCCAGCGCCCTCTTCGCCCTGTGGCGCATCTCCTAGTCCTCGATCTCCTTGATCTTGTCACGCACATGCCAGCGAGAGAAATAAAAGGTGATCATCTTCACCTTCTTCCGATACCCGTTCGGCCGCCCGAACTTGTCGGTGGACCGCGTCTCGGGGCCGACATCCATCTCAATGGGCATCAGCGCCTCGACGGCCTCGTCGGAGAGCCCCCGCAGCTTCTTCGGCACCTGCTCCGGCAGCGGCACGAACATCTTGCGGGAGGCGTTGCACCGACGGCAAGCGCTCTTCGAGATCTCCTCGCTGGCGTCCCGGAACATGTCGACCTCGTGCATCGGGCGCGGCTGCAGGACGCTGCACTCCTTGCACATCCCACAGGAGCCGCGCAGAGCCCAGGTCTCCAACCCCTTGGAGAGATCGCTGAAGCTCGCTGTCTCCAGCGGCGGGTCCAACTCCTCTCCCTTGGGGATCTCGTCGGCGCGCCCGCGGACTCTCCTCTCGGCCTTGTCCTTGAAGAACGAGTTCTCCACCTTCTTGTGGTTATCCAGGGTGAGTCTCCGGAACTTCTTCCGCGCCTCCTTGTCGTCCGCTGGATTCTGCATCTGCAGAGCGCGCCTCTTGAGCTTCTCTGGCCAATCGGTCTTCCCGCTGCGCCTCCGGGCTCTCTGAGCGCGGGCCGCCTGCTGATTCTGGCGAACTGTCTTCTTCCGCATCTGCGCCACGTAGTCGTCTCCGAACACCTCCTTCAGGATACTCTCAGCTCGAGTGAACACGGCCTGGTCCTTCTCGCGGAACGCCTCCGCCTGCTTCAGCAAGCCATTGCGATGCGCACCCTGCATGCCCCGCAGCCTTTGCGGATCGCACCAGCTGCACAAGTGCTTGTCCTTCTTCACAACCCGCGCTGGCTGCCCGGGCCTCGCCGTGCTGAACGAGCACGCTTCCTCTCCCGCACCGCGGCAGCAATCACGTGGAGTTATCAAGATTTTGAACTCCTGCAAGGTCAAGTGCCTGCGGAGCCTCCCGAGCGCTTTCGCATGGAGAGCCGCGCTCGCCTGCTTGAACTTGTTCAGGTCGGCCATGACGTTCTTCTTCTTCTTCATGGGATTCTGCGCCGCCTCCTTCATGCGCGCAGGCGTGCAGAACACGCATTGACCGCCCGCGGCAAGGGCACGCTCGCCGGGCTCCGCCCTGGAGAAGGCGCACACGCCGCAGTCCCCTTTGCCTTTGAGCTTGCGCCCCATGGCGCGTCCGAGAACGTACCCCTCGCACAAGCGCTGTCCTTGGCGCTCCACAGCAGGCGGCGGCGGCGTCTCCGCTGCGTCCGGCGCGCCGCCAGGCGCCTCCTCGGGAAGCTCCATGACGACGTCGCCCTGGTCATCCACCGGATCCTGCGCTGGCGCCGCGGCCTGCTGGTTCTTCGCAACGATCTCCTTGGCACGGGAGATGAGCTCGTCTCCGCCCTCGCACATGGCCACCCTCTCCACGGCGATATCGTAGATGCCCGCGTCGAGCTTCTGAAGATTCGCCAGGCTGTGAGACGCCAGCTTCGACAGCCGCTGCGTCTTGCAAATTGTCTGCATGCGCGCTGGCGAACACCACTGGCATTGCCCGTTGTACTTCGCCTGCGCGTGCTTGCCGGCGTCCCACGGGCTGAAGCAGCACTCCATGATGGTGCCGTCCCCCATGACGAACCCCTCGCAGCGACGCGGCCCCATGGTGAGACTGCGCGACAAGTACCAATGTCAAGAAACTGCACAGACTGATGGCGGCGGGTGCGCCTGCCAGACACTCGGGTAGCGTTGCAGACCTCTCCTGAGCCCAAATGGCAACGGCGGCGTGCCAGAGAACATGCTCCAGCATTTCTATGCGTCATCCCGCGATGCATCGCCGCTGCGTCGAGAGCCCCCTCCGGAGCGCAACCAGCATTCCACCATCTACCGCGGGCCATTGAGGCGCATCGCCAATGCATCGTGCATCTGGAAGAGGCCGCTGCCTGCTGCGCCTTTCAGGAAAGTGAGAGCCGCGACTCCAATACGAACGTTCCGACGCTGTTCTTCCATGCGGGATTGCACCACATGCCTCCACCGCGACATGCTGGGACGCATCGCCAATGCTTCTCGCACCCAAAGCTCGCAAATTGCATCCGCGCTCTCCTGCATTCGCTCACAGACGTTCGAACAACGGGGATAATCCTGCATGCCCGACGCCTGCCGTTGGAAACTGCACCGCCCATGCATCTCTCCGTCCATTTTAAACACCCCCTGCTCCGAATGATTACTGCAGCACATCGCCAATGCATCTGTCTCTACTGTCCTCTGCGAAAGACGTGTTCGAAAATGTATCCTAGACTTGTGCGCGCGCAACTCGTCTCTGGCAACGCATGTTCATTTCAACAGTGTGCGAGGGGGAGCCAGACCCCCCCCCTCGCTCTCCCCCTTCCAACCTGCGAACACGTGCGCGTGTCATGCCATAAAACGCACTCTCCAACACTGCCCGTGCGTCGCCTCTCCTCTTCCGAGTCCGCGAATGGCCAGGGCTGTGTGCAACTTCTCTTGCTCGCACCGCATCGCCCGAGGCGCGCCTGGCGTGGGCCGCGGCCGCAGCGAGCGCAAGGGCTACAGCGAAGGCGCCGACTGTGGCGCCCTTCAAAGATAGCTCGGAGATAGCGCTCACGAGCGCCCGAGGCACGCCTGGCGTGGGCGGCGGCCGCAGCGGGCGCAAAGGCTACAGCGAAGGCGCCGACTGTGGCGTCCTTCAAAGATAGCTCGGAGATAGCGCTCACGAGCGCCCGAGGCACGCCTGGCGTGGGCGCGGCCGCAGCGGGCGCAAAGGCTACAGCGAAGGCGCCGACTGTGGCGTCCTTCAAAGATAGCTCGGAGATAGCGCTCACGAGCGCCCGAGGCACGCCTGGCGTGGGCGCGGCCGCAGCGGGCGCAAAGGCTACAGCGAAGGCGCCGACTGTGGCGTCCTTCAAAGATAGCTCGGAGATAGCGCTCACGAGCGCCCGAGGCACGCCTGGCGTGGGCGGCGGCCGCAGCGGGCGCAAAGGCTACAGCGAAGGCGCCGACTGTGGCGTCCTTCAAAGATAGCTCGGAGATAGCGCTCACGAGCGCCCGAGGCACGCCTGGCGTGGGCGGCGGCCGCAGCGGGCGCAAAGGCTACAGCGAAGGCGCCGACTGTGGCGTCCTTCAAAGATAGCTCGGAGATAGCGCTCACGAGCGCCCGAGGCACGCCTGGCGTGGGCGCGGCCGCAGCGGGCGCAAAGGCTACAGCGAAGGCGCCGACTAAGATAGCGCTCCTGGCGTGGGCCGCGGCCGCAGCGGCGCAAAGGCTACAGCGAAGGCGCCGACTGTGGCGTCCTTCAAAGATAGCTCGGAGATAGCGCTCACGAGCGCCCGAGGCACGCCTGGCGTGGGCGGCGGCCGCAGCGGGCGCAAAGGCTACAGCGAAGGCGCCGACTGTGGCGTCCTTCAAAGATAGCTCGGAGATAGCGCTCACGAGCGCCCGAGGCACGCCTGGCGTGGGCGGCGGCCGCAGCGGGCGCAAAGGCTACAGCGAAGGCGCCGACTGTGGCGTCCTTCAAAGATAGCTCGGAGATAGCGCTCACGAGCGCCCGAGGCACGCCTGGCGTGGGCGGCGGCCGCAGCGGGCGCAAAGGCTACAGCGAAGGCGCCGACTGTGGCGTCCTTCAAAGATAGCTCGGAGATAGCGCTCACGAGCGCCCGCTGCACGCCTGGCGTGGGCGGCGGCCGCAGCGGGCGCAAAGGCTATAGCGAAGGCGCCGACTGTGGCGTCCTTCAAAGATAGCTCGGAGATAGCGCTCACGAGCGCCCGAGGCACGCCTGGCGTGGGCCGCGGCCGCAGCGGCGCAAAGGCTACAGCGAAGGCGCCGACTGTGGCGCCCTTCAAAGATAGCTCGGAGATAGCGCTCACGAGCGCCCGAGGCACGCCTGGCGTGGGCGGCGGCCGCAGCGGGCGCAAAGGCTACAGCGAAGGCGCCGACTGTGGCGTCCTTCAAAGATAGCTCGGAGATAGCGCTCACGAGCGCCCGAGGCACGCCTGGCGCGGGCGGCGGCCGCAGCGAGCGCAAAGGCTACAGCGAAGGCGCCGTCTGTGGCGTCCTTCAAAGATAGCTCGGAGATAGCGCCCAGAGTGCGCCTGGCGCCGCGCCAGGCGTGGACCGCGGCCGCAGCGGGCGCGGGGGCGAGGCCGAAGGCGCCGTCTGTGGCGCCCTTCAAAGATAGCTCGGCGATAGTGCCCGGAGTGCGCCAGGCGCCGCGCCAGGCGTGGGCCGCGGCCGCAGCGGGCGCTGGGGCGAGGCCGAAGGCGCCGTCTGTGGCGTCCTTCAAAGATAGCTCGGAGATAGCGGGAACCCATGGGATTGCCGCGCCAGCGCCCTCGCAGTGCTGCTTTCCAATGCCGAAGGCAAATGCCGGACCCCTGTGGAACTGTTGCGCCAGCGGCAGCCCACCGGCGAAGCTCCACGCCGAAGGTGCAAACGGCTGCCTCATCGACGAGGCGACCTGACGCGCCAGCGCAATGCACCCTGCGCGCGTGCTCGCATCGGCGCGCATTGCTACGGCCGCGGCCGCGCGCGCGCATCCCAGCATTCACAGCCCAGTGTCACAACCCAGTGCCGAAGGCAAAAGCGGCAACGCATGAACATGCTGCGCCAGCGACAGCCCAACGGCGAAGCTCAACGCCGAAATCGCCAAAGGCTGCCTCTTCGACGGGGCGACGAGCCGACGCGCTTACATCACGCGCCCTGCGCGCATGCTCATGGGGATGCGCAATGCCACGGCCGCGTCGGCGATCGCCTGCGCGCGACAACACGAAAGCCCCCCGTGATAGGGGGGTTGGGGGGAGAAACCCTAAACCCTAAAAGGCTTCACTCTGGGTGGTCTGGGGCGGGTGTGCGACTAACCGTGGCGCGCGCGGCCTGGGCAGCGATCCCCCCCAACAACCGCGATGCGGGGGGGATCGCAGCCAGCGCGCGCTTTCTCTCATGCAGGCCCTAAATCTCTGATCTCTATAATTATTAAACCCTAAATCCTTCAAAACCGGTCGCTATGCGGACCGGCCTCCATCCTTTGCAAAAAAACTATTTCCTGATCATGCGCTGATCATGCGCTCTGAAAACGATGTTTTTACAATGGATCGTGACCGGGTCTATCTGCGGGCCGGGCTGATCCCTGTCAAAAAACATTATCCTGATCATGCGCATCGCATTTATCAGAAAACCATATCTTTTACAATACATTCTGCCCAACCGTGATCGCGGGCCGGGTCGCGGGCCGGGATGCGTACCGGAGTTTTATATGGAAAAAAATACTATAACCTTAACATCATGCTCTTGCAAGATGTGTCCATGCTCATATTCCATTGCAACAAATACGACAAAGTGCACACGCGCGCGGCCGCCCCGTATGCGTACCGGAGTTGTGTATTGTAAAAAAACTATAATCTGAAGATTCTGCTCTTGCAAGATGTGTGCATGGTACTATTCCATTGCAAAAGATACGACAAAGTGCACAAGCGCGCGGCGGCCGCGCGATCATGGCCAACTCCTTTGGAAATTTCAATGTTTTTCAGCACTGGTGTTATGCGACAGCCGCGCTAGAGGCTGCGGTTATCCAGATGTTGTGGAACTCGCCTTTGTGCTAATCTATGTTACGCTGGCATAGCATACGAGAGGTGTTGCATAGCAAAGCACGTTGAAGTCGGGCGAGCCCTAGAGCCCGCCCGACCCGAACCGACCCGCTTGTTAAGGTTCACGCGTGTCAGGTGTATCTCCCAGGCTTGCTATGGTATGCTATGCCATGCTATAACCACGGTATAACATGAGAGGAGAGATGATCTTTATGTGGGGGTGGAGATGCGGGGGGGATTGATAGCCGCCGCAGGTGGGTGCCTATGCGGGTAGGTATTCTTGGCCTTGCCCTGTTAGACCCTAAACCCTAAACCCTAAACCCTAAATCTCTAATCTCTATTATTAATAAACCCTAAATCCTTCCAAACCGGCCGCTATGCACACCGGCCTTCATCCTATGCAAAAAAATACACTTTCCTGATCATGCGCTCTGAAAACAAAGTTTTTTACAATGGATCGTGACCGGGTCTATAAGCGGGCCGGGCTCATCCCTGTCAACAAATATTATATCCTGATCATGCGCATTGAATTTATCAGAATCCTTTTTTTTTTTTTTTTTTTTTTTTTTTTTTTTTTTTTTTTTTTTTTTTTTTTTTTTTTTTTTTTTTTTTTTTTTTTTTTTTTTTTCCATACGTTTCGTGCCCAACCCGGGACGCAGGCCGGGTCGCGGGCCGGGATGCGTACCGGAGTTTTATATGGAAAAAATACTAAAACCTTAACATCCTGCTCTTGCGAGATGTGTCCATGCTCATATGCCATTGCAAAAAACACGACAAAGTGCACACGCGCGCGGCGGCCCCGTATGCGTACCGGAGTTGTATAATGTAAAACATATTATAAACTGCAGATTCTGTCTTTGCAAGATGTGTGCATGGTACTATTCCATTGCGAAAAATACGACGAAGTGCACAAGCGCGCGGCGGCCGCGCGATCATGGCCAACTCCTTTGGAAATTTCAATGTTTTCTTTCAGCAGTGGTGCTATGCGACAGCCGCGCTAGAGGCTGCGGTTATCCAGATGTTGTGGAACCCGCCTTTGTGCTAATCTATGTTACGCTGGCATAGC